ATCTCTGGAATCTGTTTCTCCCTCAAGTTTCCAACTTATTTTCCCCAACCTTATCTTTCTTATATTTCTCTCATTGCTGGATCACTTGTGTATAAGGTCTATATATGCATGTCTGCTGTTTTCCTTTTCTCTCTACAAATTATTTCTCAATCCCTGGGCCCTGACTCATCACTGTACCAGATTATTCTCTGCAAAGCTCCCCGTGATGCCCAGTACCCCCAAATTCAATAGCATTTCTCAGCAGCTTCAGCCCCTCTGCAGACAGCTGCCCTGGGGGTCTATTATGCTTCTTTGACCCTTTCTCTGGTGTCTTCTGAGGGCCTGGTTACCTGGGGTTTCCTCCTGCTCTATCAGTGCTTTTTTAGGCTGCCCCTCTTTCTTTCTACCCCCTAAATATAGCCCATCCCAGGGTCTAGCCTGTAACCCTCTCCATTCTCTGTACTTTCTCTCTTGGTGATATCACTCAAGCTTTGGCTTCAATATTCCTGTTCGAGAATGTGACTCTCACATCTGTTTATGGTCTCTTCTCAAAGAGCCCCCAACTAACAGTGGACACCCTGAGCTCTCTGAGCGCCAGGACCCCAATTCTGCCTTCTGGGATGTCTTCACACTTTAAGTATTCAAAACCAAAGCCACTTACTCTCTCTTTCTCCACCAGAAAGCCCATTACCTTTCACATTACACAGTTTCTCCATTCTTACAGCTGCCCAGGCTCAACTTTGGGGGCCCTAGCTCCACCCACACGTATATCCAGGAAATCCCTAGTTCTGGAAGGTACGATTTCTTCATCCTCTTTTCCACACCTTCTGCCACTCCTAGAGCATTGGGCCCTTGCCGACTTGCCTTTGCAGTCTGCACAGTCCCCTCCCTGAATGCCCTGCCTTTTCTCTTCCAGCCTCTTCCTTCTCTTGTTCAGCCAAGCTTCCTAAGGCTCTGCCCTTTCACCTTCAGTGGCTCCCCAGTGCCTCTGAGTCAGTTATGCGCTCCCCGGCCTGAGAGTGGGAGTCTTCCACACTATGACTTTTCTGATCTAATTACCACCATCACCGCCCCCCAGTTCACATACTCTGGGAAAACTGGCTTATTTCTTATTCTCCAAACAGGGGATCCCTTTATTCGGGTCCCATGCCCCTGAAACACCTCCTCCCAACCACAGCCCCTGTGTCTGTCTGTAGAATCCTACTGATCACTCACACCTATTCTAAATACCATTTTCTCCAGAGAGACTGGCCTAATTCCCTTGCTCTTGGGTTTGCTCTCCCTCTTTCACGTCTGTAGAGCATAGAGCGTTCTATTTGTAACTCTCTTATAAGCTGGGATGAAAAACACTTGTTCTCTCTTTATCCATATGACATGTCCCTGTCTGTCCTCTCAGCCAGGTGGTTCTTCACAAGGTTCTACCCACATGGCATTTTTAGAAACTGAATTTATTTCAGCTCCCTTTGCTTGCCTGATGCTTGTGCTTTCGATCGTAGGTTTAACCCTCACTTCAAGTGGGGAGGTACCAACGAAGGGGTGGCTGGGCTTTCCTGGGTCCTGTTTTGTGAACACTTTTGAATTCAGCAGCATTTTTTTTTTTTTTTTTTTTTTTTTGTTAACTTCCTGAGCTAAACACGGCTACAAGCGAAACCTGGCTGCTTTGCATGTGCCTGGGGGCCTCGCAGCCAGGTGGTCCTTCTGGAACATTCCAGCTGGTCTCATCCTTATAAAACCCATCTCTCCCTCGCCTCACAGGAAAGGCCAGGCAGGTGTGTAAAAGGGAATCCAGTCCAAAGGTGGGCCCTCCATGGGCTAACGAGGCCCACAGCTTTCTGCATGGGAGGTAGAACTCAGCAAGCCTATTGGGTGAAAAATGGGCCACACTGTGTTTACTTCAAAGCCACAAGAAGTCTGAGCAGGAACTGAAGGAGGATGTGAAATCAGGAGGTTGAAATGCTGAGGGGAACATAGAGCAGTGGATCCCGGCGGGGACAGGGTGGGGGCAGGGGAAGATGGGTGAGGAGCCCATGCTGAGGGGGCCAGCGTGGCTGCTGGCTGCCACTGGGCTCCGGCCCTGCCCATCCACCCCTCGGTGGGTTAGCTTTTCCATGAACAATGCAAGGGAAGACGATAAGGGAAACCCAGCACTGAAACTCACGAAGGTGGAGGATTTTATCACTCAAAGGCAGATACACGCATGCGCGCACACACACACACACTGGGGACTGAAATACGTCACACTTCTGCTTTCCTATTGTCCAAACAATGAGCTGGAGGACCCTTGAGAGCCTCTGATCACACGGTAAAGCAGTAGGCAGTGGCGGCCGAGGGTGGGGTGACCAAAGAATGTGTTCTTCATCCCACCCCAGCATTCACAGCTTTGATCAACTGTGTGTGGGCCAAACCACAACCATCAGCAGGCCAGCCGTCTGGTGACACCTGTTTGGTCCAGTCTTCTCGTTTTACACAGAGGCCCAGAGGGGTTAAGAGGTATCTGAGGTCACATTGCCAGTTTGGGGAGGAGACAGAAATTCAAGTCCAAGCTTCTTGGTGGCCACACTGTGTCTCTTTCCACTTAACCCCTCCACCTCTTGGTTTGAGGCAAGACTGAGATACTCAGAGACTTTTATCAAGACAGAAGAAGGGGTGCCTAGGTGGCTCAGTCGGTTAAGCATCCGACTTCGGCTTGGGTCATGATCTCATGTTCGTGGGTTGGAGCCCCGCATCGGGCTCTGTGCTGACAGCTCAGAACCTGGAGCCTGCTTCAGATTCTGTGTCTCCCTCTCTCTCTGCCCCTCCCCTGCTCGCACTCTGTCTCTGTATCTCAAAAATGAATAAACGTTTTAAAAAAAGAAGAAGAAAATGAGTTCCCTGTGACTCTGCAAGCGCATAGCAGAGATGCAAAGGGAAAATTAGTGCCTCCTGCAAATGTTCATGTGGAAGTCTGGCCATATGACCTAAAGATCCAGAAGCTCAGAGGACAGCTCAATCCAGGACTGATAAAACAACAAAGTTAACTTTTTCAAAACACTCAGCAGAGTTGGGAAATAGCATGTTCCCAAACAAACAAAATCTGTTGACCGAGTGAACATAGTTTTTTACTCCTTTGTTTTTGACCTTACTGTTAACTTAAGGCTTTTTTTTTTTTTTTAAACAAAGCTATTATCCTTGCTCAAAATGCAGTTTCCAACAGAATGAAAACTGGTTTTTTGTTTGTTTTTTCCTAATGTTCTAAGCTGGAGCATTCTCTGTCCTTGGATCAGGGTCTCCCTGTAGTCTGAGGAGGGAGCATCATTCGCCAGGAAATGGTTTTCTATGCAGTTCTAGAAAGGCAAGCATTCCCCCACTGAAGCTTCACTTTATCTGGAGTTGGGGGTTGGTCCCAGATCTATGGAATGGCTCAGAGGCAGGACCCCTCTCCCGTCCCCCAGGAGCAGAGGGACCATCCCGAAGGAGCACAGCCGGGCACTTGGTGACCCTCAGCAAGTCCTCATGCAGTAAAACTACTGTGGGGCTTGTAACAGCCTGGAAGCCTGTCTGCAGCGACAGGACATGAGAGACACTGAAGTCCTTTGGATCCTGACCCTAAGAAAGAGATTTTTGTTTTTGTGATGAAGTGGGTACTTCAGTGGGCTTGGAGGAGGCTTACCAGGCCCAAAGATGCCTCGTTCCTTCGGCTGCTCCAAAGAAAGTGGCTATTGCAAGAGGCCCAGCCAGTCATACCTCCCACTACCTACTTGTATGCTGCAGGGGTGCATCTAGAGATGAAATGCCCTTGCGGGGAGCCTCGCCCACCGGCAGGGGGCATCTCTTAATGTACCCTCTGCTCTTGTGTCCTACTGCGGTTGGCACAAACACTGTGAGTATCCAAACACCCTTACCCGAGCAAGGCTCATCTTCCCCAGGTTCCCTTTCACCTCTGAGCCCCGTCTTAACACTTACCTTCACCGCAGCCCCTCTACCTCCATCTCTTGCTGGTGGTTCCTCACTGCCCCCAGCCCCCCGCCCCCTGCTCTTTACCCAGCCTTGGATGCGGTGTGGACCTTTCTGGTCTTTTGCCATTCTGACCATCTTTATACCTCTCCTCTGCTTCTCCATTCCTGACCCAACAAACCTGCATCGTGAACATCCCTAACCAACCTCCCTCCCCAACCACACCTGAAAATTAACATCCTTCCATGAGACACCCTAACTCTTGCCCTTCCGTTGAAGCTCTTTCTCAAAAAAAAAAAAAAAATGAAGCTCTTTCTCGACACGTCCACCACCAGTACCCCTCCTCATGTGCTTTGTTCGTTCCTTTTCCTCCTCTGTGGAATACGATGGAGAAAGGGCAGTGATGCCCCACATGGCCTTTCTGCAGTTCATGGGTCACCACCCATTAGTGGATTGCAACCAACATCAAAAAGAGAAAAAGAGGGGTGCCTGGTGAAGCAGGCAGTCGGTTGAGCGTTGATTTCAGGTCAGGTCATGACCTTAGGGTCGTGGGATCAAGCCCTGAGTCTGGCTCCATGCTGAACATGGAGTCTGCTTGAGATTCTCTCTCTTTCCCTCTGCCCCTCTCCTCCTCCCTTAAAAAAAAAAAAAAAAAAAAAAAAGGAAAGAAATATACGGAAAATATCAGAGTGCATCACCCACAGTAAGGGTAAGTATTGTTTTGTGGCACTTTATAGTTTCAATATGTTTGTTTCAAGTCTCAACAAAAAATCTATTTCTCACTGGGGGTTGCAGCCCAAACAAGTCTGGAAGTCCCTGGTCTACGAAAGAACCAACCCAAACACTGAAGACACGTTATTGATGAAAGTGAAGAGAGAGAGAAGTGGTTAAAGAAATTTGCATCATGGAGGCTCAAATGGCCCTGCGATTCACCCTTGGAAGGGCTGTAGGGGGGCATCCATCCTCCTGGCTGTGGGAGGAGGGAGGTACGCTGAGGGAGCACCCCTAGGGAAGATCTAGAAACTGTCAGATTCACACTCAGCACTCCGACTCACATTTGCAGATAAATCAAAGACTGAAATCTTAATTCGTTGTAATCAAGATCAAAAGAAAACTTAAAAGGAATATACAACCACCAGAGAATTTTCCACACCACTTCATCTGCTACTTCTCTAGCCTGTAAAAACAAAGCCCAGAGGATGCCTCCGATGGGAGTGGGGTCTAGCCCAAGTCCGGACATCTACCAGCTTCTTCCGTCAGATCATCAGATGCTACCAGTTCAAGTACAACAGGACCCGAGTCTTGTCCCCACTGACAGGCGGATGTCCCAGGCGCTCTCAGCTTCGGGCAGTGTGGCCATGCCTGGAGTTACTGGCAGTAAAAGGTGAGCACGTTTTCCTGGTTTCCTCGGATCAAGATGACCGGAGGTCTGAGGTCCTGGGACAGCGTCTCCAACCAGGCCATGTACAGTGAGCTCGGGCACTTCCCTTTCCTCCCAATAGGCAAGGTGCTGCAAGGCAGGAAGAAGCAGCAGGTGAAAAATTACCAGGAGGCCTTACCCACACAGCCCGCCCAGCTCAGGGTTTGCTTTCTGAATAACCACTCTGTTTATTGAGTCCTTCACTGCTCCTTCTTCCTAGCCACCCTAAGAATGATCTCCCGTTCTTAAAAGCTCGACTCCAAATGTACCTTTAGCCACAAAGCTTGTGCAAACAAAGCCATGGCCAGTAAGACTCACACCGTCTGGTTTCCACCAATCTCCACAACCTCACCTCTTCCCACCCTGGGCCTTGCTCACACCCCTAACAGATGCAATGGCTTTCTCTCCATTCCTGGGGGGGAAAAATGACAAGCTTGCTCCTGCCCCAGGGCCTTTGCAGGTGATGTTCTCTCCACCCAGAAGGCAGCGCCTCCAGCCCTCCACCTGGCTGGCTCCTTCAGGTCACTGAGGCTTTGGCTTATGCACACCTCCTTCTCCGATCACCTTCTTCAGAGCAGGCCTGTGCGGGGCGTTGGTGACACAGCCATTAGTGTTAGCATTGCTGCCTTCCAGAGCAGGCCACTGTCTCTCCTTATCATGGCACCCTGTCTCATTGTCCTCACAGCCCTTCCCACTCTCCAAAACCTCTTTTAATTCGTTGTCTGTGCCGCTCACTATCCTTTCCCAGTCTGGTACAGCTGGGCTGTCGAGTGGGTCATCGCACCCCCTCAGGCCCCTCGAATCACGCCAGCCCATGGCCACAACAATGTGATACGTTCACATATTTCAGCTGCATATCTTGTCCTGCCTCCGGCCATGTATGTGAGGCCTGCCCCCATTGCCCTGGGACAGCCCCTTGTCCCCAGTGCGATGTTGTGCAAATAACGAGGTGCCCTGGGGTGGCTGTTTGGCTACATAATTATGGCTATTTCAGAGAGTGACTTTCCCACCATCTTAAGATTCCAAAAATACTTCAGGGTGACCGCAGCTGCCCTGCTCTTGGCTCTAGGAGAAGGCGCAGTATCTCACAGGCCCAGCGGGTGTTACATGAACTTGAAACACGGGCATCTTTTGTGGGGCTGCACATTATAGTCTGTCTGCTTTCCTACAGTACATCCCAGACATTATTTCATCTGAACGGCAACAGAACCCCGGGGGCTGGGCAGGGCCTTCAGTACCTCCCTTCTCCCTAGCTGGGGGCACCCGAGCAGAAAGGAAGAAGCTGAGCTACTCTGGGCTGCAGAGCACGGGAGGCGCCAGCAGCCGGGAAGCTGTGAGCGTGGCTCTGCCCCTTCTCAGCCACGTGGCTTTGGCAGGTGGCTCACTACCCTAAGGTGAGGACACACCAACCTCCCTCACAGGATGTTTGCAAGCTCTAAACAGGACAAAGCACACGAACGGAGCCACGCAATGCCCGGCACACGGCAAGCACCTCCTGACGCCAGCCGCTGATGTCACACTCACTGCTACTTAGCGGCCGGAAAGGAAGGACCTGATGCGTGGCAGAGCTGGGGCTCCAACCACAGTTTGGGATTCTCTCCCTCCCCCTCCCCCGCCAGCTGCCCCTGCTCACTGCAACTCTCACCTCTGATGAAAAGGCCAGTCAGCTGTCCCTTTTTTTAAAAGTCCATCCTCAAAGCCTCCTTTGGGACCACTTCTACCATCCTTTAAAAAGCAAGTTCCCTAGGGGTGCCTGGGTGGCTAGGTCAGTTAACCATCTGACTTTGGTTCAGATCATGATCTTGTGGTTTGTGGGTTCGAGCCCCATGTCAGACTCTGCTCCGACTGCCTGGAGCCTGCTTCAGATTTTGTCTCTTTCTCTCTNCAAAGCCTCCTTTGGGACCACTTCTACCATCCTTTAAAAAGCAAGTTCCCTAGGGGTGCCTGGGTGGCTAGGTCGGTTAACCATCTGACTTTGGTTCAGATCATGATCTTGTGGTTTGTGGGTTCGAGCCCCATGTCAGGCTCTGCTCCGACTGCCTGGAGCCTGCTTCAGATTTTGTCTCTTTCTCTCTCTCTCTCAAAAATAAACATTAAAAAAAAAAAAAAAAAAGCAAGTTCCCTAGGAGTGGGAAAGGCGACGGGAACAGGGGTATTTCAATCATCGATGTCCCCTCAGGGCGTGTCTGTGTCCGGTGACTCTCAGGGGAAGGGAAGCGGAGAGATCGAAACCCAACTTTTCTGACTTAACAGTTGGGCTGCAGTTTCGGTTACGTTGAAAAACTCTCTGGGAACTCCCACGTTATTCTCAGGCACTGAAATCCGAAATCTCAACACAGGTGGCTGTGTTACCAGGGGCAGGGGACACCCCTCAGTCCTGCTATGGCCTTTCAAGCTTCAGCGCCAGGTCCTCTTCACCAGCCTGTCCGCCTGTCCTCCGGTCCGAGGGACGGACTCCCTTTGCGCTCCACCCCCAGGCTTGTCACTCCTGTTGCCAGGGTGTGTGCGCTTTAAGCTGTTAATCTTCAGAGATAACGATGTTCCAGAATAAAGGAGCCTTTTGTTCAGACCTGGAGCCAAGGCTTCAGAACACAATCCCCACTTCACAGCTGGGGCGGGGAGACGAATCACCTCACAGCGCAGCGAAAATTACTAAGGTCGGATGCCCGAGTGTGGCCCAGAAGCTCGATCAATGAGATGCAATGTTGACGATTATTATTGCCTTTGAGGACGGTGTCTTTACTGAAAAAAGAGGGGTTGAAACCCAAAAGTGGGACCAGAGATAGATGTTCATCTTGGCAAAGGTTATGGGCTGGCTTATCATCTTATAAGGCTGGTTGATCAGATGCGCAGGTTAAGTGGACCTCAAACGCGGGCTGTTAACCAGAGAAACTGCTGATGGGTACAGAGCAAACACCAAGTTCTGCCCCAAACCTGCTCTAGAAAAGGGTCCAAGTGCGCTCTTCAAGATGCTGAAAAATGCAATTTTATCTTTTCATCTAGGCCTGGGAGGGTTCTTTTCCGTCCTCAGAATTTCTGGGGAATGCAGTTTCCTCAAATGCGCCCCAGACCCTGATCTGAGGGAACCGAGGAATTGGCCGTTTTCCACAGTGCCTGGTGGCTCTGATGGAAGTAACCCTGGCTGAACTTGTAGGAACACTGGTGGGCGTGTCTCTGGGGTGGAGACAGGCAGTGCAGAGGCGTGGCTGATGTGCCCTCCCAGTGAAGGTGGCCCAATGGGCGAGGCCCCTCATGCAGCAGATGTAGCTGGTCCCATGGGATAGGACAGCATGCGCAGGCATCTTTTTAAGGTGACTGGACCGTTGATTATTTGTATTGGCTAATCCCACAACGGTGGGTGAGGGTGGGGGGTCTGGCTTTCCCTCTGAGGTCCAGGGGATGGGGGAGGGGGAGGGAAGAGGTATCAGCAGGAGCTCATCTCCCAGGATGAAATTTCTCCTCTTATGGCTTGAGAGACGGACTCATTTTAGTGGCAAATAAACTTAGGAATCACAGCATGTTATGGGGCGCCTGGGTGACTCAGTCGGTTAAGCGTCTGACTTTGGCTCAGGTCATGATCTCACTGTTCATGGGTTCAAGCCCCATGTCGGACTCTGTGCTGACAGCTAGCTCAGAGCCTGGAGCCTGTTTCGGATTCTGTGTATCACTCTCTCGCTGACCCTCCCCTGCTCACAGTGTCTCTCTCTCTCAGAAATAAATAAAACATTAAAAAATAAAAAGAAATCACAGCATGTTAGAGTGAAGGATAACCTTGAAATAATTAGGTTTAACTCTTCTCTATAATGAGGGAGACCGAGAAACAGAGAAGGACTACTTGTTCAAGGCCGCGCAATGAGCTAATGACAGCAGAGACAAAATGCAAAAAAACCCTGCTTCTCAGGGGCACCTGGGTGGCTGAGTCTGTTAAGCCTCTGACTCTTGGTTTCAGCTCAGGTCGTGATCTCATGGTTCCTGAGTTTGAGCCCCGCATTGGGCTCCGTGCTGACAGTGCGGAGCCCGCTTGAGATTCTCTCTCCTCTCTTTCTGCCCCTCCCCTGCTCATGAGCTCTCTCTCTCTCAAAATAGGTAAGTAAACATTGAAAAAGTCAATCAATCAATCCTGCTTCTCTGAGAGCAGGTGGCACTCATGAAGAGGTGGTTTCACACACAACAGGTACCACACCCAAAGAAAGCTCCGGGGAGTCACCCCAGATTGCAGCCATTCCCGGTCTCGTGCACTCTGACCCAGTCCACAGCCTAGTCCAACCTTGCCCTGGGAACATTCTCTGCTGGGTGTTGGCCAGAGGCTCACAGATAAAGCCAGGTCTTTCTCTTACACAGTTCGCACATCACAGAAACACGAAGCACTTTGTACGAAAAAAATGATCTCCCTACCAGGACCAGGGAGCACTGCTCCAGCAGAGCCAGCGCATGGGTGCGCAGCCCGTGCACCTAGAAGGTCCCATGCTGGGCTTCACCCTCTGCTGCCACCATCTTGCCACCCTTAAGCATGTTTGAACAAGGGGGCCCCCGCATTTTCATTTTGTACTGGGGCCTGCAAACAGCGTGCTGGCTCCTGGCCTCAGGGTATGAAGAAACAGGCTCAGCAGGCTTCCCAGGTGGCTAGCCCTCAGGCCAGCCACCTGCGTTGCCAGAAGACCCCATTCCCCGGGGAGCTCGGAGAGCTGGGCTGACCCAACCGTGTTCTTCCTCCCGGCCTCTGAGAGAACAGAGCCACCCTGAGCCCTTCTGCGCCACTGCCGCCTTTCACCTCGCCTTGCACATACTCAGAAGTGGCTCGTAACGGACACAGGCAGCAGCAACGGAAGCCGGAGGGTCTGACAGGCACGGAGCCTGGAACGGCGAGCCTCTACTTCTGCTGCCCAGGCCTGGCACCAACATCAGTCGGGGGTGGCCAACGGCCAAGAAAGGCTGGGTGATGCCCTCGCAACCAGGAAATTATTTTCTTCTGGAACTGGCTGGGCCTCCTTTGCCAAGCTGTTTGGCAGGAAAAGGTGGCAAACGAGGGAAAACCGTGCTCAGGGAAGTCGGCGAGGCCTGGGATGTGTGAGACCCTGGACCTCTGCCAGCTGACTGTCAGGCCAGGGGGACGCAGCGGACGCAGGCCCAGCCACGTGCTAAGGAGCCCCCCGGGCTGTGTGTTTACTGGAGCTTCGGGCCCTTCCGCCTCACAGGGGGTAGGCATCTCCTGGATCCCTACCCAGAGCGGACGCCTCGGGCCTCTGCGACAGGCCCCCCCTCCCACCGGGGGCTACTTACATGACCACCAGAGCCGCATCCTGGGAGGAGTCCAGCAGGATCTCATTCAGCCTCACCTGCCGAAGGGACTAGAGCGAAGACAAGCCACGTGGTCACTGCCTACATCCTCGGGAAAGGGCCCCGCCAAGCCCACGGGCCTCTTTTAACATTCACGCCAGATGCACGAGTTGTTCCCCCGAAGCTCTTACAGGCTCTCTCTCCTCCGAGATGGAAGGGGACCCTTGGAGTCACTGCCTGCCAAGTTCACCCTGAGAAGCCCTCCGTGGCTTTTCCTTGCCGGACCTTATTACCGTGACCGGGGGCATCACTGGGGGAGCGACCTTCTGTGGTGTGGAGGGAGCTGGGTCCACATCTTGGCCCTGAGAGCTCACAGCACAGGGAACCCGGGCAAGGCACGTGGGCTCCCCGAGCTTCACTGTCTTCACTGCAAAATGGGTGGGATAACCCCCTCCCCAGGGGAATTTGGGCAGCGGTGAGAGCCGTAACCCATGCAAAAGCACCAAGCCGAGGTCCTGACATGCAGAAGGCTCTTGATAAGGTCGAGTCGGAGCAGAAGTGGAAGCTGCCACCTCCATCTCCGTATCGGGCCAGGCCAGAGCCTCCTTGGGACACTGTACTTTCTCCAGCATTTCCCAAGGAGCCGTGGGCCCTCCGGGGCAGGGCCTCAGGGCTGTGACAGATCACAATTCCCCAAAGCTTACTGAGGTTGGGTTGGGAGGCTCCCTCCCACCCCCAGACCTGTCTCCAGAGTGTTCAGAAATGATTGACACTCACGAGTCTGATCGTGGGAGGGCACCCCACAGAATGGAAAACTATGGGGGAAGTGAGTTCACTGAGATCCCGGACTCCAGACCCTGACGAGTGACCTCTGTGGCGAGTAATTCTTCCTAGCGGGAACTGCCCTGTGGGTGGTAGGCTGGTTACCAGCATCCCAGGCCTCTACTCGCTAAGTGACAGCAGCAATCCCATCCTCCACTGGGAACAACCAAAAGTGTCCCAGATTTGCCACATGTCCTCTGAGGGGCAAAGTGGGGGCGGGGGGACCACTGACCCAGAGCACACAGGGAGCAGAACTGCGATTCCTAGTCCCCCCCCCGCGCCCGCCGCCGCCGCCGCAGCTCTTCCCACTGCAAGTGGTCCCGGCAGCCACCACTTTCCCTTAGGCCTTGAAAGAGTCTGGAAGATGCTGTCTGGGCAAGGGGCACCCATGACTCTACGCTGCATGTGGGAAGGGGTCCGAGGCTAAGGAGAGCCATCAGGCAGCTCTTTTGGCCCAAAGCACAAGGTCTACCTTGACCTTTGGCACCTGTCTCAGGAATTCCTCCCAGCAGCCATAGAAAGGAGAGGGAGAGCTCCGGCCAGTCATTGCCATGGCCGGGGGGACTCAAACGGGCAGGAGGACCAGGCTCCCATGCCAAGAATGGTTCTGAGTTCGCCAACTGGGCTACTGAGCACCTTGGCTTGAGGATACCCCAGAGTCTGGGGCGTGGTGGCAGGGAAGGGTCAAGAAGAGGATTAAGAGAGTTCAGAACAGGGGCGCCTGGGTGGCTCAGTGGGTTAAGCATCAGACTCTTGATATTGGCTCGGGTCATGATCTCACAATTCGTCGGTTCTAGCCCCATGTTGGGCTGCATGCTGACAGTACAGAGCCTGCTTGGGATTCTCTCTCTCTCTCTCTCTCTCTCCCCTCTCCCACTCACTCACTGCTGTCTCTCAAAATAAATAAATAAATAAATAAACTTAAAAAAGAAAGAAAAAAAAAGAAAGATCAGGACAGGTAAGGCACATGGCCCTGACCCAGAGGAGGGCCTTGACCCCTCTGTCTCTCCCTCCCGACCCCCACAAGGCCCTTCTGTCTCTGGTACCTTGACTTTGTTCTTGTTAATCTCCTCATCTGAGATCTTCCAAGGGCAGTCCCGCCTCATCTCGGTGACAGCAGCCTCATCCTTGAAGCCGTCATTCAGGCGGAAGGGTGCAATCATGTCCTCAAACCGCTTGGTGCTGGGGACAGAGAGAGAAGGGGAGGCCAGGTGAGATGGCCCAGTTTCCATGGGAACTGAGTCCCCCAGGGAAATGGAGAAGGGTGTCAAAAGCTCACATATTGTAGGCTGAGCTCATTCTGCCACTGCGGTTTACATCAAAGCAGCTTCCGCGTAGAAATCAGCCCTGAACCTGGGCCTGGCATTCAACCAGCCTTCCGCAAGCCGTCCACAGCAACCACCTTGGGATCCACCTCCACCCACTCAACCGGTTCCCGGGCTTCTCCTGAGCACTACCCTGTGCCAGGCTTTGTGCTACATGCCAGGGAACAAGCCACAACACCCACTATCTACGGAGCCCACAGTCAGCTGGGCAATCAATATGCCAATATAGAGGGGAAGTTTCCTGAAGGTGCAAATTGAGTACCAGGACAGGGACTATTCGGGGCGGGGAAGGTCTCCCTGAAGCTGAAAGATGCCTGTCATTCTGAAGCCAGCTCTTCACAGGCTGAAGCACAGCGGGTGCTGAAGCACACAGAACTGAAGGTGCAAAGGCCCTGAGGCAGCAGTGTGTTTGGTCTGTTTGAGGAGCAGCAAAGGAGCCAGCATGGCCAGAGCAAGGTGAGTGCAGTGGAAAGCAGGGGGCCCAGATCAGGAAAGCCTTCCTTCGTTACCTGCTCAGAGATGGCAAGCTGCTGGAGGCTGTTCTGTGACTTAACATTATTCAAAATGGAACTTTGGACTGGTCAGCATTTAGATGAAGCCACCTGAAGCCATGTGGGTGGATGAGCTTATACAGGGAACAGAGGCAAGAGAAAAAAATGTCTAGGGCCCAATCCGAAGGATGCAGACAAGTTTAAGTCAGGTAAAGGAGGAATAAGCAGCAATTAACACTGGAAAGAAGGATCCCTAAAGCAGGCGGCATCCTGTCAAGGGTGATGCCTCCGAAGCCAGAAGAACTGCTTCAGGAAGGATCGCTGTGTCAGATGCCGTGGCGAGGCAGAGGAGGAGGAGGACAGAAATGGGCTCTGTGGACGAGGTGGTGTGGAGGTCAGCGATGACGTGGGCGAGGGTGAATTCCGTGAAGAAGTGGCCACGGAGAGCATAAATCTCTTTAGAGAAGTTTGGCTGTGCAAAGAGGAGACAGTGGCCAGGAAGTGGAGGCAGAGAGGGGCTAAAGGTGGGGGAGGGGGGGTGTTTAAAGACCAGGGCTGCTGGATGGGGTCTGCATGCTTTTGCTCTCAGTCTCCTCCCTCCTGGAACGTATTCCCCGGTGTCTCTGCTCAAGGTCTTCCTCAAGGCTTTGCCAACAGAGATGGCATTGTCTCGTGGGTGCTGGCCCATCTCTGCAGTGTTCTGATGGCTCTCGACTTCCTCTAGCCTGCCCTTGGGCCGCAGTCAACCCTGGCAGCCGGAGTTGTGATTACTCACCTCTGCCCCAACATGCGGTAGGGGCCCATATACCCATCACCGCTGACTAGCTCCTTTCTTCTCGTTTTGATTTTCTTCCCTCTCTAGGTAATGGGGAACATTAGGGAGAAGTAAGAGGTTGGATGGACCTTACTTTACACTAAGGAGGTGGAGTGCTGGGAAACCTCAATTAGATTGATTTACAGAAAGCAAACCCTATTATAAATGTCTTAGTTTCAGAACATGAATCTGAATCACAGAGCAAGTAAATAATCCCTTCTGACCCCACCATTGAGCTTAGCGACAAGTTCACACGGGGTTTGCTTAAAGTCTGTGTACTTGCTGTTGCAGGGGTGGGGAGAGGGGAGAAGAGCTTGTAGCCCAGATCATTCAACATTTGCCCCACTCTAAGCACCAATGTGTTCATATAAATAACATCGGGGCTGTAGCTGCCATGTTTCTGCCTCAGGACCTTTGCACCTCCAGTTCTGGGATATGCCTCTGCCATGGCTCCTGCCCTCCAGCTATGTGCTTCTGGGCAGTGACTTTGCCAACCCTGCCCATGGCCAACTGGAGCAAAGGTAGCCAAGAAATAGGCTTTGCAGCAACCTCTACCTTGGCTTGGCAAGAAGGGGTGAGCTAGGCCAGTCATAGTTCCTTTCTCAGGAACTTAAATTAGTGGAGCTGAGACCTCACGAAAAGTTCAAGGTCTAGAGCTCAGAAGCCAAGAGTAGGCAGAAGCCATCAATCCAGCATTTAAAAAAATGGTTTTTAGTAATTTATTTATTTTTGAGACAGAGCAGGAGCAGGGGATGGGTAGAGAGAGAGGGAGACACAGAATCTGAAGCAGGCTCCAGGCTCTGAGCTGTCAGCACAGAGCCCAACATGGGGCTCGAACTTACTAACTGCGAGATCATGACCTGAGCAAAGCCGGACGCTTAAATGACTGAGCCACCCAGGCGCCCCTAATCCAGCATTTTTGAATATCGACTCGGGACTGTCTTTAAGACAGTGGTTCTCAAAGCGGGGTGCCTAGCCCAGCACCCGAGAGCTTATTAGCAATGCAGGTCCTTGGGCCCCAACCCAGATCTGCTGACTCAGAATCTTGGGGCGGGGCAGGGAAGGGGGCCCAGCAAGCTGAGTTGTTATAAGCCATGTGATTCTGACACAGGCCAAGGCTTGAGAAGCACTGCTTTATGAAAACATTCAGGGTGTTGGAGAAAATTTAGACATTTATGAGTAGCAAGCGGTGGGAAGTGTGAAGCCAGACATCGCCCCGCAGGCCCCTGCAGGTCCTCGGGTGGGTGGGGGTGGGGTCCCTTGAGGATGGAAACACCTGCCTCCCCTCAAGTGGCAAGACAGCAGGATGTGCTCCAGCGTATCAACACTTGCTCTAAGAAAAGCACAAACGTGAACGTTCACTGTCCTCCGGCCCCGCTGGTTTTCTGGCAAAGCCCGGGGCTCTGATAGGCAGACAAAGAAACACTGGCAAGAAAAGAAGCGGCTGCAAACTCCTACCCTTCCTCTTGCTCCCCCTGAGCCCTGTCTAGGTGGCTGCCTGCCCGTGGCTCACCAGACACCAAGGGGCAACATGCACAGGCATCGGGGGGCACACGGCTGGTCCTTCTGCCTGGGAAGTAAGTCACCACAGAGAACTTACTGCTCAGCCCGCGGCTTCTGGTTGATGTCGGGAAGGACGTGAACTTCGTGGAATCCCAGCCGGAACTTGCTCAACAGAGAAATGATTCTGGAAGATGGAGAGTTTTAAACATGCATTCTTCCATTCAGTGTCCTCTAAGGTTTATCTTGGGTGTCCTCTAAGGATCTAGCAGTGAGTCCAGCAGATCAAACCCTGTGCTCAGCGAGTTTGCATTCAGGACAAGAGCCAAATACTGATAAAGTAGGTCAGATGAGGACAAGCAACATGGAAAAGTAATGGAGCAGGATTTCCCCAAGTATCTGGTGGCCATCTCGGTACTAGCGCCCCTTACGTTTTACTCTGTCTATACATCTGCTGGGGGCCTTGTCACAATACAGAGTCCATCCAGTTCATCTGGTGCGGGGTGGGCCCCGGGGATCTGCATTCTGACAAGCCCCCAGGTGATGTGATGCTGCTGCTCCACAGACTGCACTTTGAGAAGCAAGGGTCTAGGGGACGGGAACGTAAACCACAGGAAATTACAGGGTGGGCTAAGGCAACGGAGATACCACACATGAACTAAGTGCAGAACCAGGGGTAACAAGCCACATAGCACTGGCTTCGCATGCAACAGGGGAGGAGACGCCAGCTATGGTTTGTGGCAGTCAGGGAGGGCTTCACAGAGGAGGTAGCAAGCTAGCTAGACAGTGCAGAAGATTATTATAAGGGGGTGTGTTGTCCACACTGGAGCTTTCTAAATAGTACACCTGACTTGGCTCTAGCCCACCCACTGCATCAGAATCCCTGGACGGGACAGGGCTTTGGGGATATTCCAGAACCCACTAGCAGGGTTTGAATGCATGGGGGTGGGAAGTCCAAATGAGCGAGAGCATGGGGGTGCAGGAGGTGAAGAGGGAGCGATGAGTGGCTAGCTGGGGGGGAAGTGGGGGGGGGGGAATAAACCTTAAGGATCAGGCTGCTGCTGGTCCCTGAACTTGGGAATGAAGTTAGGAAGGCAGAGCTGTGGGCAGATGCGTTGGTGTGCAGTGTGGGGGTGGCAGGAGACAGCGCAAGCCTGGCCTCGGGGTCGCAAGGAGGGGGGAAGAGGGCTTGGCCTGGTGGAGCGAAAGTCGGGAGGCAGAGAATATTCCACAACCTTCCCGGACATCCATGACCCCCCGGTGCCATGGTCTTGAGCTCAGTGAAACCCGCTGAGCCCAACTTCCATTCGGGGCTGGAATGAGCAGCTGGGCCGGCAAAGCCCTTCCTGGCTTCTTTGTCTTCTGGAAATGACAGAGAAGCTAGATTCTGCCCTTTGCAAGCAACGGTCTCCTCGGCACCGCGGAGAAGGGCCTTTCGGTATAGGAGCTCTCAGCAGGGGCGAGGACAGGCGAAGACAAGGAGATGGGATTGCTGGCCGCCCTTAACTCGCACGAGGGGCGACTGAGAAGTGTCACGGGCACGTGGTCCTGGTGTAGGGCCAGGGTGGCACAGGCCACAGAGCCCCGACCCTGGGGCATCGTGGCTGGGATGGTTGCAGAGGGCACCAGAGGCTGGGCAGAGTTTCTTCTCTTTGCTAATTAATTGTATGCCCTTGAGCAAGCCGCGCATCGTTGCCAACCTGTCTGCCCCATCCAGCGGTCTTCCATCCTACAACCTTTCACCTCACCTGACTTTGCTCTTGCTCTAAAACAACCGTGGCCCCACGGGCCTGACTGCACACCTGTTTACCTGCCTTACCGCTGACTTCCTTTTCAACTTAAATCAACTCACATTCTGACGTAGCCGCATCTTAAAAGGAAACGTCAAATGGCAATGTTCAAAAGAAAACTAGCATCCCTTGCCGGAAAGAGGTGATCAATAAACCCAACAAACCACCGAGGCTAAATTCTGGCTGGCTGCCCTTGCCAGCCAACCCGCCCCCCCCACTCCCCACCCTGCCCAGCCCCCGCCCCAGCCAGGCCTGTCCTTTGTCGCTGAGACAGATTAGATGGGTTCCCCAGCAGAGAGCCCTTCTCCTGTGGAATGAGCCACACAGTTGGAGGAATTAAACGTCACTTCTCACCAAGAAATTCAGTAAGATGTGCTGCCCCTCTCCTGGCCACTAATGTCACCTCCTATCTCACCAGGGACAGCATCCCAAGCTTGGGGGGATGTCGCCCTAAAGGACCCTCAGCCCCACCTCATTTCTCAGCAGGGGGGCCCTTCTCCATGCTTCCTTTCATACAGATCTCTCCATGCTCCTTGAGCAGAGTTGGTGGTTTTAAAACGCAACACTCCTCCCTGGCATGGCTGGAGTTAGGGCGCCTACGACTTATTAAAGGGGGGACAGGACACCGAAGCCTGCCCCTGCTCAGAGCTCACTCACCACTGCTGTGACCCAGAGAGAGCTGAGTCTACTTGGGGCAGTGGTACAGGTGCGGGGAAGCAGGGGTGGGGCACACCTGGGGAGAGCTGGGATGGCGCTGGACCAGCGACCTCCACTTACGCCTTTCTCTCCTGGTCCATCCTGTTGATCTGTCCCCCCACGAACACGCGGATCCTGCATTTGCTCCATCTCTTCTTGCGGCCGAGGAGATAGGGGATGAGGAGGGTGAGGCCTGGCAAGGAGGGTCCCCGTAAATCAAGAGGGAATTGCTCTCAGGATAGAATACCCTCTGGGTTCCCACCCTGCTCTGCCACTGGCAAACCTCTTCTGCTCTCTGGACCTCAGTTTACCCATCTGTATAATGAGGGTGCTAGACTAAACCAGAGTGGCACACAGGGCTCTGTGGGCTGGGGTTCATTTGGCCTGTGTGACATATTTATTTATTTTTTAATACAAATTATTGTCAAATTGGCTAACATACAGTGTGAAAAGTGTGCTCTTGGTTTTTGGGGTAGATTCCCGTGGTTCATTTCATTGCTTACATACGACACCCAGTGCTCATCCCAACAAGTGCCCTCCTCAATGCTCATCAATCGTTTCCCCTCCCCCCCACACTCCCATCAACCCTCAGTCTGTTCTCTGTGTTTAAGAGTCTCTTACGGTTTGCCTCCCTCCCTCTCTGTTTGTTAACTATTTTTCCCCCTTCCCTTTCCCCATGGTCTTCTGTTAAGGTTTTCAAAATCCACATATGAGTGAAAACATAATACCTGTCTTTCTCTGACTGAGTTATTTAACTCAGCATAATACCTTCCAGTTCCATCCACGCTGCTGCAAATGGCATGATTTCATCCTTTATCATCTGCATGATGTTTTTAAATAAGTGCGCTGACATTTAATAGTTGGGGGTTTTTCAGGGTGCCTGGCTGGCTCAGTCGGTTAAGCGTCAGACCTCAGCTCAGGTCACAATCACATGGTTCATGTTTTGAACCCCACGTTGGGCTCTGTGCTCACAGCTCAGAGCCTGGAGCCTGCTTCAGATTCCGTGTCTCCCTCTCTCTCTGCCCCTCTCTCGCTTGCACTCTGTCTCTCTCTGTCTCAAAAATAAATAAACATTAAAAAATGTTTATAATAATTGGGGGCTTTTCACATGAAAATCTGGATTGCTGGCATTTTTTGAAGATGAAAGATTTGACCCGTGGATGGGAACCCTCATCCTTCCTTGCCATCTGTCCATATAAGGCTGAAGACCAACTCTCATTTATCACTGCCTAACCCTGGACAAATTACGTCACCACTCTATGCCTCAACTTCCTTATTTGTGAAGGCATCTCATACTAGTTCCTACCTAGGGATGGCATTAGGTTAGCCCACAGAAAGCTCTTAGTGTCAAGCAAGTGTAAGCGTTCTCTCTCCATCAGCTTTCATCAATGAGATACATACTACTGGAGTGGAAATAGCTTCTGTCTGTGTGGGAAAGGGTATATTTCTTTGGGGACAGAAGAACATTCCTACCATGTTTCTGCATACCAGCCCAATTATGGCAGGTGCCAGTGGTCCCTAAGGCCCATCTCATCTGAACATTCCATCTCATGCCAACCTCGGCTCCTCCTACAAAATGCTCCATTTTACAGCTGAAAATCTGGGGGCCAAGAGAGGGGCCCGGTCAGGTTCCCCCAAGCCCAGAGGTGGGCCCGAAGTCCCCTATTCCCCTTTGCTGGGCCCCTTTGCAAGGTCTCTCCAGGAGCCTTGCCCAGAGTGGCCAGGAAGGGTAGGCCATAGAGGGAAGATAGGCTTGAGGAGAGCTGGTGTCCGGGGGGTACCGACCTCCGTCATCAAAGAGCCAGTAGATGTCTATGGTCTTCTTGCCCTGCTCAGACTGGAAGATGGTGCTGGCCTGCTCCTCCCGTACCAGGGCCTCGGGGTCCACTGCGGGAGCAGAGGGCCAGGTCACCTCAGAGCAGTGCGCAGTCAAAAAAGCCTGCGTCCGTCTGAAAACAGAGCCAGCCGCCCTGTAAGGCGGGCTTGCTGTCCCCCAGGCCGCGCACACAGCGGCCAGAAGCACCCTGCTCAGGATGTGCATGGCGAGGACTGGCCCAGATTACCACCAACGACTCTTCTCACAGTGGGACTCTCATACCCGATTCTCAGGCAGGCGGACCAGGAGCAGGGGTCCCAGACACGCAGTGCTGGGACACGGCCCTCCCTTGCTCCTAGAGCCTCCCTCCCAGGATTCTGGTGGGCACCGGAGAGCAGGGACCATTCTCTTAAACAGCCCCTGTGCCACTCACAAATGCCCACAGGGTGCCCCCAGCCCCAGCTCTGTTCCCCTTCCTCCCAGAGCATCAGTGGGAAAGGACTGAAGGAGACGCCTACTCTCCTCCTCCCTGCCTGTGACATCTGAGAGTGGCCAGGTGCCATTGGAGGGGTCAGACATAGGCCACAGAGACAGCCGGTGGGTTCCCACAAGGTCAGGATACTGAATTTCCGAGGAGGGCTGTGATGTCGAATACTGCCCAAGCCCGGTTACTGCTCCGGCCCCCAGTTACCCAACCCCTGTCCTTGACCGGCTTCCCTCTTGGTCCACCACTAGCTGCCCCATGAGGTGAGAGTGCCTTGAGCCTCTGAGTGGGTGGGGACTGACGTGTGCCTGAGACAGATGGCCTGGCCCCGCTGGTGCTGGCTTCTTTGCTGTCCTCTGCTGGGTCAAACACTGGGTCAAACACCGGGTTAACTGCAAGAGAGAGGGCAGCTCTGTCCCCAGGCGCTCCTCGCCCATGGCCCTTCGCGGCTCCTCCTCTTCCAGGCTCTCCCTTAAACTAGAAAGAAAGTCCTGACTCCTCACCTTCCACCAACTGGCCCCTGCCCCTGAGCCAGGAGCCCTCACAGCATCCCCTCTTCTAGGCAAAAGTCCTCCTCCTCCGAGTGGCCTTTCTGACCACGTGCCCTGAGTCGGCGTCACCGTCTAAAATGACTTGTGGGTCCACCGCACTTGCGGTGGGAACATCAGCTTCCCAGGGGCAGACTTTGTTTTGTTCCCTGTGGTGCCCCTAGCGCTGGGCACAGCATCTGTCAGGAGCTGGCTGCGCTCTGTACATTCTGGTTGCATCAGTGTTCCTTGCCCAGCTGCGGGGTGCCGGGCATGCTGTCTACACAGGGTGATGTAGATCATCATGACCCGGGCCCCACCTGCCCGAAAGGTAGCGTCCGCACCCTTTAGTTCCCCTGTGCCGCCCCCATTTGTTTTCTAGACTATATATTATTTCTTTCAGCCCTGTCCATGTGATTAATTCAGGGTCTGCAGATTCCTGTGGGACTAAATGTAACACACATCCCTGCTCAGTGCTCCAAAGACAGTCATGGAGATGTCCAGTCTCTGGGGCCTTCATCAGTGTTTTCATATTCTGGTCTCTTTATGTGGGGATTCTCCTTTCTCCCCCTCTTTTCCCTATTAGCTCCTCTTGAACTCATCTGGTCGCAAAAACTCTATTAGTGATTGGGGAGTCCTGAGTTCCAGTCTTGTTTCTGATCGCAGCTGGACGTGTGACCTTGAACTGATCACTTCCCCTTTCTGGGCCTCAGGTTCTTCCTGTGGAAACCTGATGAGTTCTAAGAGGCCATCAAAAGGTAACTTTTTATGAATCTATGAGATTTATTCCTTACTAATTCCCCCCTCTCTTCCCTCTACCACTTAAAAAAATCGGGTTCTAGAACTTTCTTGGATCCTGTTCTGGGTTTTGACAGGCAGGCCCAGCATGTGGGTCGTGTACTCACTGTGTGCCTGCATCACTTCCGAGATGTTGAGCCCTTCACGCATCCTCATGACACACACACCGTAGTTGAAATCGAAAGCATCGCTGGGAGGAGAAGATGTGCAATCAGGCTCCTCCCAGCCCACAGCCCCCAGCCCACAGTTCCCAGGAGACCAGATATCTAGAGTTGGCCTTGCCTCCCACCATGCCTTCCTTCTCTCCGGGCCCGTCTCCCCATCTCTGTCACACGCAAGCAGAACAGGAGAGTCCCCCAGGACCCCTCTGGCTCTATGGTCTGTGGCACTGTGGATGCTGTGAGCCCTGTACTCAGAGGGAAATGAGTCAGGCTGGTCTCCGAGGCAGGCCCTGTCCTCCTGACACATTTAGATAGTCTACACAACCTGCCAACAGAGGTGGGCATGGGAATCACTGGCCCCATTTTATAGATGCAAGACTTGAGTTTGGGGGAGTAACTTGCCCACCATTGCATGCTAAGGAAGTGGCCGGCCGGGTTTGGAGTCAAATGGCCGAGACAGAACCCTGAGGGCAGGGACACTCACTGGAACGGCCTAGCTCAGGAAGGCAGCAAAAGCTTGTCTTTATGGAATGTCTGGAAGACTCCTACCCCAGAAGTATATTTACTGTCTGGTTGACAGAGGGCCCCGGAGACCACCAGTAGGCCTTGATCTGATGAGTTAAGCATTGTCCCCATGGGTTGTTTTAGTTACACATCTCTGGGACAGGGGCTTCTCAGGCCCCAGCATTTTGGGGTCTTGGAGCGCCAAAGCGGGGGTGTGTGTGTGTGTGTGTGTGTGTGTGTGTGTGTGTGCTGGAGAACAGACAGTCCACCACCTCCCGTGACTGTGTCAGAGGCTGAGGGGCACAGCTCGGGGTCAGGCAGCCGGCTCACAGCACACCTGGAAACAGGTTCCAGGCTCCCGGCCCTCAGCCTCCTTTCTGGAAATGCTCCTACACCCTGCCTCCCTACGCCACATCCACACAGAAAAACAGCCCAGGCAGGCGTCTGCTGGCCGATGCACAGCAAGAGGCGAAGGAGAAAGGGTTTGGAGTTCACCCTGAAATCCCCAGGGAGTCCCCACATGGTCGCCTCTCCTAGGAGGCCTGCTGTCGCCCACAGGTGGGCACAAAGTTTTCACATAAAACCCCACATTTGCAACTTCTCTGAAAAACCAGAAGGCCTGGCAACAATGGGTCTCGGGCCCACATTTCTGTCTGGGCACAGCGGGCTGGAGCCAAGGGACAGCGGCTCACTCTGGCCTGCTCCCCGTCGTCCCACACCCGGCCGGTCCCCTCCCTGCCCATCTTGGTGTCGGGCGGCGAGCCCTCAGTGGGTCTGTGTCTTCCTGAGCTTTGAACCGGCTTCTTCTAACACCCACTGCTTCCCAAGGCCCACGTCAGCAGCGCCCGGGCCCTGCCCACCTCGTGCCCTCACTCACTGCAGGATGCCAATGTAGTCCTCCACTGTGGCCGGGTGCGCCGACTGCCAGTTCTTCTTGAACCCAACCACCAGAATGTTGGGCCTCATTCTCCCGAGACCTGTGGCCTGCGGGGGGAGGGGGGGTGTGAGGTGAGGGACCAGGCCTCATGCCCGCCGTGGCTCTGTTCGAGAGTGGGGCTCTCCCAGCCCCAGCTGCCCTCTCTGCCAGGTGGAGAGGGCTCAGGAACTCCACGCTGCGTTCAGGGTCTTACCCGCCTGGACACACCCGTAAGAAAGGAGAAGCCACAACCAGAAGCTACGATGACCTCACCGGACCATCCCGTTAGCTCTGGATTATTCTAGTTCCTGCTTCTCTAGCAGATTATTTCTCATAATGAGAGACTTTAATTTGGATGTCAAGCTTTAGAGTATCCCCAGGCTATCTTAGCCACACATCTTTTGTATTTCTTTTTTTAGTGTTTAAAAATGTTAAAAAAATTTTTTTTGATGTGAAATTCACATAACACAGAATTAGCTATTTTAAATGGTGTATAATTGGGTGGAATTTAGGATATTCAGAATGTTGTCCAGCCATCACTTCTATCTACTCTCAAAATATTTTCATACCTCCCTATGGTAAAAAATCTTGAGAACTATTAAAAAATAATTACTGTTTATTTATTTTTGAGAGAGAGATAGACACAGAATGTGAGCAGAGGAGGGGAAGAGAGAGAGGGAGACACAGAATCTGAAGCAGACTCCAGGCTCCGAGCTGTCAGCATAGAGCCTGACGCGGGGCTCTAACCCACGAACCACCATGAGATCATGAACCGACCCAAAGTCTGATGCTTAACTGACTGAGCCACCCAGGCACTCCTTGAGAAATATTTAGAATTATTGGAAAGGACTCCCATATGTTGACTCAGAATTAACAATTGTTATTTTATCCCATTTTACAGATGAGAAACCTACGAAGTAAAATGAATTGCCTGGTAGAACATTCCAGAACTTGATCTGAGCAGTGGCTATAAACATTTATCAGTCTATGCACTTAATATTTTTTTCACTTTGCTGTCTGTAAATTATATTAAAAAAGAAAAACAAGGGGCGCCTGGGTTGCTCAGTCGGTTAAGCGTCTGACTTCAGCTCAGGTCATGATCTCACGGTTGGTGGGTTTGAGCCCCACGTCGGGTTCTGTGCTGACAGCTAGCTCAGAGCCTGGACCCTGATTCCGATTCTGTGTCTCCCTCTCTTGCTGCCCTTCCCCCGCTCATGCTCTGTCTCTTTCTGCCTCAAAAATAAATAAACTACAAAAAAAGAAAAGGAAAAAAAAGAAAAGAAAAACAAGAACTGCTCAAGCTCCCACCATCCCCACCGACTTCCAGGTCAGTTTCCCCCAGGCCCTGGGCACCCTGAGAAAGTGCCCCGAATTAGCATATCTGGAAAGGCAAAGAAGGTGGGGACCCCTGCTGCAACAAGAGGAGCTTCAACTAGCCCCTTAGGACACCTGCTTTCCAGCTGTCCCACCAAGCTCGTGGCACCTGCATGAGAATCTGTACGCCGCTGCGGAGGTCCTCCGCAATGACATCTGAGTAGAAGGCCTTGATCTTCCTCTTGTTCAGCCACTTGGTGTGCCCATTGGCGATGAGCCGGAGCTCAGGCATCCTCTGTTTTCGGGGTCCCTGCAGGTGGTGGGGCCAGGTGACCTCAGGGGCTGCCTGTCTTCACCCTCTGGCCTGAATGAGACTCAGCTCCCCTCCTCCCTGGAGGCTGCCTCATGGGCTCAGCCGCACCCTGAGGTACCCATTTTCCCCTATGGAGTTAGGACAGGGAATAAGGAGGAGGGAGGGAGCGGGTGGGGGAAGGAAGATGGAGGGAACAGGCAAGAGGCAGGGCAGTGGGGAGAAGCTGGTGACTGGGACAGGGGAGGGGACGGAACCAGGCCCACAGCAGGGTCCGGTGGGCTCTGCTTGCTCCGCAGCCCCTCCATCCCCCACCGCCCCCCACACTGCCTGCCCCCCTTCCATCTGTGGACTTCATGCCCCGGGGCTCCTCCAAGGGTACGGCCCCGCCCACCTAGAGGGGCCACTCACAATGAGCACGTGGCCACAGACCATCAGGCTGAGGTTCCGGGTGAAGGTGCCCACAAAGTCGACCAGGGCCGGGCGGAAGTTGGGGGGCCCCGTGAGCACTAGGCACTGGGGGCTGAGGAGGGGAAGGGAAAAGGGCATGAGCCCACAGGGATCTGGGTGCAAACGCAGGTGCTGGCAAGTATAAAGACTGGGAGTGGGGAGGCACAGCTCTTACAGGGTCCCCGTGTCACGTGGGCAGGAGACTCGGCCTCCGGTCAAGGGCCACTACCAGACTAAACTGGAGCCAAAATTGGTCACTCACCAGCTGTGTGACCTCAGGCCAGTTACTTAATTTCTCTGTGCGTCAGTATTCTCATCAGTGACTGGGGTGAGTAATTTCATATGCCCCAGATGGTTGTGATGAGATGGCGAAGGCACTTGGTGCAGCAACGCAATGTGAACACTTACAGCTGACTGTTAGCATTACAGTCTGGCGGGAAGGGGTCCTGGACACACAATTGTCACTAAGGAGAGGTTTGTCATAGTCAGCCTGACGGATGACCGTGACAGGGATGGCGACACCCGATCGCCCTTACACAGCCCTTTGCATTTCGAAGAGCAGTGTATTCCGCTGCGGAAACTGAGGTACAGAGAGGTCACTGGACTTGCTAGGTCCCCATTGAGCAATGTCAGCCTGGTCTCCCCACAGCAGGGTGCTTCTCCTCCACCTCTGTCCCCTCTCTGAGCAAGGACCGCGCCCACCCTGGGTCCCGCCCTGGGGCAGGTGACAGGCTTGGCCTGGGACACGGCTGTGCTCACCGGTAGTTCTTGATGTGATCCTCCACCTCGTTGAGGCCCACCGAGTAGCTCAGGGCCAGGTTGTAGGAGCCGGCCTGTACCGAAGAGCCCCAGTTCACCTCTGAGCATGAGGGGTGAGCACAAGATTAAAAATCCCTGGGAGAAACCAGACGAGCCAAGGGCAGGACTGTTGACCTTCTTTAGGAATCAAGCACAGTGGGGGCTGGGCTGGCTGGTGGGCGGACAGCCTACAGATCTCTTCCTGATGTTTGCTCATATCCTCTGGCTACGCATTTAAACGTGATACTTCATAGTGTTAAAGTCTACAAAGCATTCTCCTCCCTTGACTAGCAGACAGTGACCTGGAAAGCCAGTTCAAATTTAGAATTCTAGGCTTTCCTGGATTTTTTTAAAAAATATTTTTTTAATGTTTTATTAAAGAGAGAGAGAGACAGACAGCGTGAGCAGGGGAGGGTCAGAGAGAGAGGGAGATAGAGACTCTGAAGCAGGCTCCAGGCTCTGAGCTGGCAGTCAGCACAGAGCCCGACACGGGGCTCAGACCCACGAACCGCAAGATAATGACCTGAGCCGAAGTCAGACGTTTAACCGACTGAGCCACCCAGGTGCCCCAGCTTTCCTGGATTTTTGCATCCTGTCCCCAGTTCCTTGCTCACGTGCATGTGGACACTTTGGTCGGCCGCCCCTCAGCCCCAGGCGTGCACACCAGCAGGCCATCCATTTCAAAAGGATGGACCTGGGCAGGTAATTCCCGGGTCCTGGGTGCCGGTGGGGGTGGTCCAGAACTAGAAACGTGGAGTCTAAGTGGACCCATTTCCCATAGGCTTCTCCCCCCACGGGCAGGGACGAGGCTGGAGGGTCAGAGCAGGGCCCTTGGGAGCACAGAGCCTGATGCAAGCCCTCTAGCTGGGCTGAAGGGCAGGATGGCGTGCTTGGCGCCCTCAGAGGGAGAAGGGGCACCCGAGCCCCTGGGCAGCCTGGACCGCACACCTGGCTTCTTGTAGATCACGTAGAGCAAGAGGAAGAGAACGACGCCGATGGCGATGAGGGCTGCCCACCAGGTGAGAAGGAACATGATGACCACGGAAATGACCGCCCCGAACAGCGCTGTCCACTTGCTGTAGTATCGGAACGAGGGTCTCCACCCTGGGCAGGGGACACGGTCACACTCGAGCTTTCCCCTGGGCCCGTGCTGCTGGGTAGGGCCTGGGTGGCAATGCCAGCAGTGCCCAGAGCCAGGGTCCCAGCCTGTGGCCACCACCCGGGTCTCCTGGGGCTGGGCCTGGAGGCTCTGGGGAGCACCGCATGCTTGCCTCGGCTGGCACTCAGCCACGTCAAGCTACACCAAGGAGGAGGCATCCGGCTCTGGCCAAATATGGCCACACGTCAGCAACAGCACCTGCTCCTCTCAGGGAGCCAAGGGGGTGAGAGGGCGAGGAAGGATGTGGTTCTGCGGGGCTCCATGCCACTGGGCCGTGCCAGGCCCGCCGCTACTGACAGCTGCCCCATGGCACAACTGTGGGGCACCACGGCACCTTGTCCAAGGCAAAGGTGCCCTGGTGACCAGCCCACTGGGGATTTGGGGATAATCAGAAAAAGGCTTTCTTGAGACTCTTTACTGCCATCCGCTAGAAGGTTATCAGGATACACATAGAAATGAATGACGTATATGGGTGGCACCCAGAGAGCTGTGCAGTATGAAACCTACAGCAACCCTGCCTGTGACTTTGGGCCATTCTCTTCCTTTCCTGGGGAGTCAGACTCCTGACTCCTGTAAAATCGGTGGTGGAAGGCACTAGAAAAATCTCTGCACCTGAAAACTGTATGAATCCATGTTCAGTGTACATTGTCAGTGGTTGAGAAAGGATGGCTATTATGATGATGATTTCAATGTTTCCTTGAATCAGTTTCAACTTGGGAGGTGACCTTGGTCTGCCCACCTGCACCCATGCCTTCCACTCCCCCACCCATGCCCCAGCCCCAGGTGCCTCCCCCCACAGAGGGGTTGAGGAGGCTGCTTACCGGGTGAGTTGGTGATGGAGGCGTGGAAACAGCTGAAGTTGATGAGGGCGTAGGAGCATAGGAAGAAGTTGGAGATGATGGGCGCAATGGTGTTGAGCTCAGCTTCAAGGACCCGAGGGAGAGAGAGGACAGCCTGTTGGGCAACCAGCCAGGGAGCCACCTGGCACCCTCCCTCGCAGTTGGGGGTTTCCAGACAGGCCACAGAGGCTCAGTGGGTCTCAGCCTTCTCATCTGTGAAACGGGTCCATCGTTTTGTGAACCTCAAGAGGCCGATATTTTGTTAACTTTAAAATGCCAGCCCTTAAGAGGATGGAGAGCAGTGGGAGATGCTAGGGGATGACCAAGGACAGTGGCTGTCACACTTTTTCTTGTAACACAAATTATAGTAAGGAATATACTTTACAGTGTGACCCAAGACACATGACATATACCATCTTTTATCTGAAACCCTGAGCCCACAGGACACACACAGTGCCACCCACAGTGGAAACACACTCTTTCCCTTCCCTGCCTCACTCCTCTGCCACTGCCCCTGGAACCCCAAATTTGTGTATGCATATTCTCATCTCAGGGCCTGCTTCTGGGGGACCCCAAAACAAGAGAAGCACCTCGATGTATCAGGGCCCGTGTGCACAATTCCACTGAGTCGCCACAAGAGCCCTGTCCCAGAGCATCTGAAATGATGGTTCTCAGTCGGAAGTGCAGTCAGAATTGTCCAGATAAAAGGACATCACATCGAAGTCGGGGGTGGACTGGAGGGTGAGCAGGAAGCAGAGATGGGTCTGGGGAACACCAGGCCTGACTGGTCATTTCCAACCACCGGGGGAGGCCCCGCTTCTTATCTGGTTCAGGATCCAGAGTAGCCGGTGTCTGGGAGGCCTCCCTTGAGTGGAGGTGAGCCAAGCGCTAGGGTAAGTCCCGGGGATTGCTGATGCCAGCATGCGTAGCAGGGCCAGGACCCGTGGAGAAACCCCGCCCCACTCCTGCATCGAGAACAGGGGCCGAGGGCCATCGCGCAGTAGGGTGGCCATTGCCCTTGCCTGGTGCCAACACCCTCCTCCTAGCAAGTTCTGCCTTGTTGGGTAAGTAGAACAGAAGTACTGGGGAGTGTGTGCATATACGAATGCATGCGCTCGCGCGCGTGTGTGTGTGTGTGTGCGTGCACACACAAGTCTCTTCCTGCCCATCTATGACACACCTGCTCTGCACTGTGGCTCCCATTCTGCAAATGAGGAGACCAAGACTCAGGAAGGTAAAAAATGATTTGTCCAAAGTAATACAGCTGGCTTATGGCGAAGCCAGGATAGAGAGACAATCTGGGGTGCCTGGGTGGCTCAGTCGGTTAAGTGTCTAACTTCGGCCCAGGTCATGATCTCACGGTCTATGAGTTTGAACCTCGCATGGGGCTCTGTGCTGACAGCTCGGAGCCCACTTCGGATCTTCTGTCTCCCCCTCTCTCTGCCCCTCTCCCCTTGTTCTCTCTCTCTCAAAAATAAATAAACTTTAAAAAAACCTCAAAAAAAAAAAAAAAAAGGAAAGTCAATCTAACTGATTAACTGGGATCTTTCTCTTGGGCATCTTCTATCTTGAAGTCCAAGGGAGCTGGCAGCTCAGGGGTGGAGAAATGAGTTTATACACCTACAGAGATGTTGATCTAGCTGTTTGTATCAGCTCCTGGGAGCCTTCCTGTGCTCCAAACTTGTCCTGGGGCCCAATTCAGGCCTGGAATCCGGGGGTGGGGGCAACTTGCCAGGTCACGGGAATATAGAAGCAAGAAAAGCAGGTAGTTTCCCTTCTAAGAAAATAGAATAGGCCACCTGCCTGGTGTGGTGTGGGAGCCACCCGGTCTGGAGTTGGGGGAGGGGCAGGCACCACATCTAGCAAGTGATGCCCACTCCCTGCCAGGCCTGGCTGGGCACTGGGCACCACGGTGAGTGCCAGAGGGAAGCCCTGCCAGCCCTCACAAGCCTCTGCGCACTGGCAGCCTCTCACCGATGATGATGAAGGCCACGGCGATGGCGTAGGCCAGCAGGTAGCCGCGCACAGGCTCCTTGCTCTTGCCGTAGCCCTTGCCGAAGAAGCCGATCAGTGGGTACAGCTGGTCCTCGCATAGGCACTGTGGGCACAGGAAAACCCGCTCACCCCAGGCTGGGCCCTCCTCCCTTGCTGCCCCTGCCCCTCCCCCTCCCCCAGGCCCTGCTTCCTCCCTCCGCCTCAGCAGGGCACTTGCCCCAGTCTGGGTCCTGGCTTCTGTTTCTGTCTCTCTCTTTTTTAAACGTTTATTTATTTTTGAGAGACAAAGCATGAGTGGGGGAGGGGCAGAGAGAGAAGGAGACACAGAATCTGAAGCAGGCTCCAGGCTCCGAGTCGTCAGCACAGAGCCCGACGTGGGACTCGAACCCACGAACCAACTGTGAGATCATGATCTGAGCTGAGGTTGGACGCTTAACAGACTGAACCACCCAGGCGCCCCCTGGCTTCTGTCTCTTAAAACGCAGTCATCTCCCCGCCCATCCTCACCCCACCAGGGAGATAGCAAGGGGGCAGAAGGAGAGGGGGTCACCCGCGCGGGGGTGAAACTGGATCAGAGGAGTTGCAGACAGGACCCCAGGCTGCACGAGGGAGACTCTGGGTGGGAAATGCAGGTGCTCTTGGAAGCACACCACGGGAAGGGGGCTGCTTCCTGCAAGTTGCTCACTAGCCCCCTTTCTCCTTCAGTTTGGATGTCCCTGTCCCATGGTACCTCCAGACCTTTGTAGGAGTCACCTGGGGACCCTTGCCCCCGGGCCTCCTGGACACCCCCACCCCCGTTCTGCAGCCTCACCTGGAAGACCTTGGCGGCAGAGACGAGGCAGGCCAGGGCAGAGGACAGGGTGGCCCCAAAGATGCCGGCCGTGATCAGGGGCGCAAAGCCGGACACCATGCTCATGGTCTGCAGGGACATGGGGTTCAGACCTCTCGTGGTGGAGCCCTCGGTGCAGGCAGGGGCTACGTCCTGAGGCCTCCGAGGCCACACCCCTTACCCGGAGATCCCAGCGCCCACCGGATCCAGGCCTGGGCCCAGCTGAACCCAAGCCTGAACCTCTTTCCCCCGAGCCTGGGACCCAGCCACATGCACCTGGTAGTAGTTGATGAGGCCGTAGTGGCAGGTGTGCTGGTGGGAACACTCGGTGAAGTTCCAGCCGTAGCCACAGGCCAGCCCCTCGCAGGCGCCCGAGCTGGGGGTCACCGTGTCATTCAGGACCCCGGAGGCATCGCGAACCACGCAGGAGCCTGAAGAGGGAGCAGGGCTTGGGGAGGCCTCCCTCCCTCCCTCCCTTCCCTCCTTCTTCCTCTCCTCCCACCCCAGACACTGGCCACTTTTGCACAGGGCGAGCTGCTGCCTGAGGGGCCAGCCCTTCCTTCAGCGTACGATGAATAATTAATGACAATAATAATAATAATGGCAGTGAAAATCGCTAACACGCAGGAGCCCTTACGACAGACGTGCCAGGCACTGTGCTCAGTACTTTAAACAACACTAGAAGCAAGTATTACTATTGCTTTTGTTGTGGTGCCATTCTACAGCGGCACAGTAACCTAAAGTGACCCTGTAAGATCACCGTGTCCTTCTTAAAGCAGAGACATGACTGGCGGTGCTGGGCCATGTCCCCTGGCCATCTGTGAGCAGCTTACTGCACAAGGTGGTTACTGGCAGCAGGAGTGCCTATGAGGAGCTCAGTGACAGGCAAGTGTCAACAGCCCAGGCCTGGGTTCAAAGCCTGGCTGCACCGCTCAGTGGCTGTGTGACCCTGGGCAGGTCACTTAACCTCTCTGAGCCCTGGTTTTCTCCTCTGTAAAATGGTGGCAGTGGCAGTGGCTGGATTAAATGTGACGAGGCTTATAAAGGGCTGGGCATACGGTTAAGTTAGCGGTTAGTATCGTCTTCACCACCACCACCACCACCACCACCACCACCATCGTCATTGTTATATTATCAGTCCTCGGTCAGAGTATAATTTGTCCTGTAGGCTTTTCTCACCCTTGAATCTGTAGCTTCAGGTTTGAAGGGACCAGAGGAGCCTGGTCTGATGGCCCCCATCCCCGCCACAAACTACCACCCCCTCCCATGAAGATGTCTGGTCACCACCGGTTGTCACCCCCCAAAATGGTCCGAGGATCCACTTTCTGAGGTTCCCATGTCCTCCTGGCCCAGCTCTCCCTGTTAGAGAGCTGAGCCACCTGCGCCACGTGACTCTTCCAGCGGCCTGGGCGCTACTCACCGATGGTGGCCGAGATGGCCAGGTAGGAGACAGTGGTCCAGAAAATGGCCATGAGGGTTCCCTTGGGGATGGCTACAGCAGGGTCCTGGGGGAGGGGAGGAAGAGAGAGAGGGCATCAGGCAGCCTCTGGGCCTCCTTCCAGGCCCTACTCTTGTCTGAGGCCGGGGGTGGGCTAACCACCATTGGGTACCCATTGATTTGTGTGGTTCCAAGGCAGTTAATACACAGATGAGCCCCAAACTCTCTCTGCTCTGAGGAAACTCTCTGCTGGCATTTTCTGAACAGAAACAACAAGTCTTCACACGTACACATCGTGTATTCCACTCTTCTGGACACTTTCTCAGATATAACTTCCCGGACAGTGGCCAAGGTGTCCCCACCCAGCCGGTGGGGAAACTGAGGCCAGGAAGCTGAGCTGAGCTGAGGGTGGCTGGGTCCTGCCCACACCAAGTCTGCAGCCTCTGGCCCAGGGGACTGGTACTGGGTGGAGTAACACAGGCTGGGATTCGTACAGCAGGGTCCCCCCTCCAGACGTAGAGCCCAGCCCCAGGGGCGGGCCACACAGGCCCTGGGAAGTACATTCGTCCACGTCCCCCGCATTGCCGGGGCCATTCTGCACGCCTGGCAGGTAGAACCACAAATTACAGAGCTTGGGGGGACCTTGACACGGTTGGGCGCCACAGGCTGATCCAAACAGAGTTGGTAACAATCAGTCCTCTGCCTCAAACACTCAGGAGCCTGAGTTGGAAGCGATGGTCACTCATTGGTGACCATGCCCTGGACCCCACCCTCGAGGGCCCAGCGCCCAAAAGAAGGAGGTCCTGCCAACACAGGGTAGATGGCACCTGCCATGGGGCAGACGGAAGTGTGCTAGGGAACAAAGGGAAGGAGGGAGGACAACTCACTGCAGTAACCACGGAGGGCTTCAGGGCAGAGGGGATGGCTGAGGTGGCTCTGATAGCCCTGGGGGGGAGGAAGGCTGAGGCAGGCCAGCGCCATGTGGGAGCAGAGGTGTGGAGCTGGGGCGAAGCTGGGGGACCTGGAGCTTGCAGATCTGCTGAGGCCTCTGCCTTGGGGGCCCTGCAGCTCTTCCCTGGGTACCAGGGTGGCCTGAACTAGGTCAACACACAGAGTCCCTGGTCCCAAGGCCAACAGATGGGCTCAACTTCCCCTCCCACCATATCTCCAAAAATTCGTGTTTGCTCAGAACCTCAGAATTTTGCCTTATTTGGAAATAAGGTCTTTGCAAATGTCATTAGTTAAGATTGAGGTCATGCCCAGCTGGGTGGGCCTTAAATCCAATGGCTAGTGTTCCTGTGAGAAGAGGCAAGGACACGCAGAGGGAAGAAGGCCGCCTGAAGACAGCCGCAGAGACTAGATTGTCGGAGCCCCTGGAAGCTGGGAGAGGAAAGGAAGGATTCTCCCTAGAGCCTTCAGAGGGAACATGGCCCTTAACGCCTTTGGTGTGGACTTTTGGCTTCCAGAATTGTGTAAGAATAAATGTCTGGGGTTGTTTGTTTGTTTGTTTGTTTCTGAGAGACAGACAGAGCATGAGCCGGGGAGGGGCAGAGAGAGAGGGAGACACAGAATCTGAAGCAGCTCCAGGCTCTGAGCTGTCAGCACAGAGCCTGACGCGGGGCTTGAACTCGAAATCCACGAGATCATGACCTGAGCCAAAGTCAGACCCTTAACCGACTGAGCCACCCAGGTGCCCCTGATGTCACCCCTTTAAATGTCACCTTCTCTGGGGTCTCTGGCCGCCATGTGAATTTGCACCAGCTCCCCACCCCCGTGCCCAGGGATTCCCTACCCTCTCTCTGCTTTGTTTTCTCCCTAGCACCACCCACAAGCCACTGGAACTCCACATCCTACTTATTTTTTGGTCCATTATCTCTCTCGTGAGAGCGTCAGCCCCATGAGGGCAGGAATTTGTGTCTGTTTTGTTTACTGCTGTATCCACGAGGCGCTGGCACAAAGCAGGTGCTCAAAACACATCCGCTGAGTGATAAACTTATGAGGACGTTGAGGCCTCTTTGTTCTAGAAACTTGCATTTGGGCTCCTCAGCCACCTGTGTGGTGGCCCTGGGCAAGCCCAGCCCTCTCTGCCCTTGCTTTGCTCCTCTGTAACATCAGCGTGATGAAGGCACAAGCAGCCCTGAGGATATTGTACCCTGAGGCCACACGGGACAAATGACCACAACTTGACAATAAGCTGTTAGCACTTCCTCCATGCTGGGCACTGTTCTAAGCACTTAACCTAAATTATACAGAATCCTTATTTCCTGCTCTGCGAGGTGGGGGGTGGGGAGCTGTTAAATCCCATTTTACAGTTGGCAAAGCTGGAGCCCAGGGTGGTTTTAAGGGTCTTGCATAAAGTCTCCATGAATGGGAGCTTCTCTCCTGCTGAGGCCACGCTGTCTCACAAAATGGGCAGAGAGGCCTCGAAGCAGGAGGGAGGGGCTGCTTTAGGACTTGAGGGCATTTCGGACACCCAGAGAAGGAGGGGGGACCAGGCAAACATGGCCACTCTGGGATTCCCAGGCCGTGTCATGCACCCCCCGGGCGGACCCAGTTAGAGCCAGGCCTGGTGGAGACTGTCCCCAGGGCACAATTCTTAAGTCATTTAAGGAGATGCATGAAGGAGGGCCGTCTTGGAGGCTCAGTCCCACTCTTGGTTTTGGCTCGGGTCATGATGTCACAGTGTGTGAGTTCGAGCCCTGTCTTGGGCTCTAGGCAGACAGTATGGAGCCTGCTTGGGATTCTCTCTTCCCCTCTCTCTCTGCAACCCCCTCCCCCAAAACAAATAAATAAACAGCACAAAAATGGATCAAGGAGCACCTGTCAAGTGGGACCGGAGGCTGGGGGAACGGGCTCCAAGCACAGAGCCAGGCGCTCACCGACCACCCCACATGCACACCACCTATCACCTTGACCCCGCCCTGGCCAAGACACCACCGGCCCCTTGGCCTTCAAAGCCCAGCTCCAGCCCTACCTCTACCCAGAAGTTTTGCCGGAGCCCCTGCCAACATCCGTCTGCTCTTCTCTCCCACTTTCTAGCACTTTGTACTTCACTCTAAGCCTCCCATTCGGTACATTTCACCCCTACCCACTCAAACAGGTACTGAGCACCTGGCATGTGTCAGACTCTTAGCTGGGAATAGGGACACAGAGCCAGGCCTCGGTTCTCCAGATCAAGAGAACTGGGACGGGGAAGAGACATGCAAATGGCCTGACGTCCTTATGCCTATGAAGGACCAGGGGGAGATTTAAGGATGGAGGCGTTATTTGAAAGAGAAACAGAGCTTCTCAAGGTAAGGAAACCAGCACAGAGCATCCCATGGAGGGAGAACAGCAGAGGCAAAGACATGGAGGAGGGACAGGCAGCAGGAAGGCAGCAGACCTTCAGGGCCGGGGCAGGGGTCACAGTAATGGCATCGGAGCCTCAAACCCTGAGCCTGGGACACCGCCCGTGTCGAGGCAGCAGAGGGCCCTGGGAAGATGTCAGCCCCGCAAAGATGTGCATGAACAGCTGCAGCTTTGGAAGGTCAAGCTCGCTCAGTCTTCCCCTTGGGCCGAGAGTCCCAGGAGCTAGGGAGGAGGCTGCCCCTTTTTAGGGTACGTTGTCTCCCAGGCCCTAGAGCGTCGCTGGTGCCCAGCAACAGACCTCAGAACTGAGTGGCGTGAGTGGACTTGGTTAGGATTGGCCGGGCTTGAGTTGCGTTGGACTGGACTGGAGTTTAGAAGCTCTGGCCCCATGGTCTCAGTGCCAAGCTCAGTGCCCAGTGGGAGAGCCCGGTGGGACACGGCCAGGAAGCAGGAGGGGGGCGTCGCGCTCACCTTGAGGTCTCCGGAGATGTTGGCTCCTGCCAGGATGCCCGTGGCCGAGGGGAAGAAGATGGAGAACATCCCGAAGAAGCTGCCATCCGGACCTCGCCAGTCTGGCACCAGGTTCTGGACAAAAATGTCCGCTGGAAGACCAAAGCCTGAATGAGGGCCGCCTGGGAAGGCTGGGACCAGCCAGGCGGGCAGGGGCCTCCTCTCTGGCAGCTCCAGGCCCTGGGAGCTAGCGGGGGAGGGGGGAGGGGGGGGAGTCTCATCTTCCCGACGCTTCTGGAATGGGCCCATCTGGTGGGCAGACTATACCTGTCCCCAGAGCCATGGGCAGGGGCCCCAACTTGCACATACCCCGGTAGCTGAAGAAGCCTTTGGAGGCCTTGTCCTCCGATGGCGGGATCAGCGTCCCCACTAAGTAGTTGGCAAAGGAGATCATGATGACGAGGAAGAAAAGCACCTGGGCCTGGGTGGGTAAAGGACCCTGGAGGTCAGATGGCCTGGCCCTACCTGCTCAGGGAGCCCCCGCAGGACAGAGCCTGTCCAGGATCCATTCATTCATTCATTATTCATTCATTCATTCATTCATTCATTCATTCATTCATTCATCACTCGTTATGCTGCAGGCCCCGTGCTAGGAGTTGGCAATGTAGCAAGTCTCTTGTCTTGCTGATAAATCAGGAACACGGCTCTCGGGAAAGAACGAGGGTGTGATGGGGACTGTGGGGGGGCTAATTTAGCAGAGTGGCCTGCAAAGGCATCTTCAAGGGTCCTAAAGGAGGATGAGTGAGCTGCTGAATGATCAGGGGCATAAGCCTGGGACCCTCAAAGACAGCGAGGAGGCCGGCAGAGGGAGCCCGAGTGAGGGGGAGAGAGGAGAGGCGGTGGGCGGCAGATGGGGCAAGTCTGCCCGCCGACGCCCGGTATTTCCTCTGCCCTCATCCCATGGTGCTAAGCCTCGGAATTCTGGCTGGATACAGGTTCACATGAGGACCACGTCTCCCTGCCCTGCTTGCAGCTTAGGTGTGGCCGTGAGATCAAGTTCTAGTTGATGGAATGGAAATAGAGGGTTATGAGCAACTTCCAGGCTGTGCCAGAAAAGGAAAAGGAAGGGGAATTCCCTTCTTTTCACCTGTTTCCCCTTCCTGCTGACCGGACTGAGGACGTGGTGGCCACCGTGGAGCAGGTACATGGAGGCCATACCCGGGGATGGAGCGGCTACAGGTTAGAACCAGTCTGGGTGCCTGAGCTTCTGGGATCGTACACACACCAGGATTTTTCCAGACACAAACGTGCACACGAGTCCCGCCCCAGGCCCCACCCTTCTCTGTACAACAGCAGAGCTGAAACCCTAGCGAGAGAGGCAGGGCCAGGCCCAGGACCCGGGTCTACGACCCCCCCTTGTTCACCTGGCCACTCCCAACATGCTCCTCACCTTGGACTCCCACTCCATGCCAGCCAGGGAGATGGCCAGCAGCACAGTGACAGTGGCCACGCCGATGATGCGGATGTCATTGGTGGGGTCCACGATGGGCGTGCCGTTCTCCTGGAGGGGGACAGCCCAGGCTGCGCACTGCCCTGTGCACACCCCACCCCTCCAGACTCCTCCGCCTTGATTCACCTCCGTCTCAGGTCCCCCCCCCACCCCACCCCCCGCCCACAGAACGTCCACAGTCATGCTGTGTCGGCCTGGACAGTGTGGCCCTAAAGGCAACACACACCCCTGAAGGGACTTCTGGGAACAGCCTCTATGTGATGAGGTCACCATGGTCACTGCAGCGAGCAGACTGTGGCCCGGCTGGCAAAGTGGGGCAAAGCGGCAGGAAGGCCTGGCCCAGGTGGGGTGGGGGAGAGTGGAGTGGGCTTCCCCACGCTCCCTCTGCCCGGGGCCCAGCCCCCAGCTCTACCTGGAGCAGGTCCCGCACAGTCTCTGCGAAGCCCACAGTGTGCATGGCCACACCCACAGCGTTGGCAAAAGCGAAAATGAGGCCGATGGAGCCCCCTAGCTCTGGTCCGAGACTCCGGGAGATGAGGAAGTAGGTGCCACCTGTTAAGGAAAGAGCCAGAACCCGTGAAACCAAAGGACCTGCTGGCTGGGGTGGGCTTGGGGCAGGCAGAAGCTGAGGCTGGGAAGAGGTAACCATGGGACCCACAGGCCCACAGCATAGGAGGTAACCGAGGGCATCCATGGGTGCCCAAAGCCTTCACCCAGAACCAAAGGGAGCAGCCTGAGGCATCCCCGTTTTGGTCAGGGTGGGTGGGTGGGAGTGGCTTGGAGACCCTTTCCCAGGGTGGAGAGTGGGGGAGCGACCAGAAAGAGGAGGGTGCTTGGGGTGGGGTGGGGCCCACCTGACTTGACCTTGCCGTTGGTGGAGATGGCTGAGATGGAGAGGCCCGTGATGGAGGTCACGGTGACGGAGAGCAGGATGATAATCCAGGTCAGGACTGTTGGTGGGGGCGGGGAGGGGGCGGAGATGTGGTCACCAGAAAACTCAGATGGCTCATTCCCCAGGCAAGGAGTCATGTGAGGAACCTAAGTTAGCCAGCTGGTTTGCTATGCCCCCTAAGTCACCTCTGTCCTCTGAGCCTTGGTTTTCTCATCCGAAAAATGGGTGTCTGTCTACCCCCTGGTAAATTCTGAACAGCCATGGAGCTAATGAACTAGTACATAAAGGATCACTAGGGATGGAAGGGAAGGTACCCTCCTTTAGTAATAAAAAGTAATGTAATAGTTGCCCATGTGATAAGCACCTTTGGGGACCAAATCCTGTGGTGTTTTACCTGCATCATAGAAACCCTATGATAGGTCTGTGGGGCAGGGACAGTTATGACTCCCATTTTACTGATGAGGAAACCAAGGCTCAGAGAGGTTAGGAAGCTTGTCTAAGGTCACACAGCCTCAGAGCCGACATCTGAACCTTGGTCTCTGTCCAGAGTGGAGGTTCCTAAGCTGGATGCTGGTCAGGAGAGATTGGTCTGAGAGGTTCAGTGACCTACTGGAGGGCAAACGGAGCCAGGGAGAGCCCTCAGGCCTGTTGACTCCATGGGCAGACTCCTCTGCCACAGCTCCCTGTCCTCTGTCACTGCAGGGGCCTGTGGTCTCTGCAGCCCAAGTTCAGGATTGTGGCCTGGAAGGCTCAGGTCTCAGGCACGCCCTTCCCCTACCCCCAGGAGGTGGCACTCACCGATGCCTGCTTGGGCTGTGATCCAGGGGAGCCTCAGGTAGAGGATAACGCCCCAGATATTAAGCATGCAGCGAATCTGGGAAGAGACAGGGGTCGGAGGTCAACTGGGTGGGCCAGTTACCCCAAAGCCAACACACAAGTCCCTGTCTCCAGTCATGGACTAGGGGACACCTGGGTCCTTTCTTGGCTCTACTCACTGCAATGGGTTCCTGCTTCAATGCCGCTCTAATTCAGTGGGGCAGGGGGAGGGGGTACCCAGAGACTCACTTTCCTGCCCTCCCATTGGGGTCTGAGGATGGGCTGCAAGCATTATCGCCCCTCCCCCGACTCCCAGCCCAGGAGCTTGTGTCTGGCAGCCCCAGCCAGGGATCCCGTGGCCAACTGCTGGCCCAGGGCCTGGCATCTAGGGGCAGCTCAGCAAAAGCCAGCTGAGCCAATGCCCCACGTACAAGCAGAAACGGCACTCAGGTCGCTGTGACTTTAGCTTCCAGATTTAAAGCAAAGCCAGAGGCCGCAGTGGAAACTGAAATTCCAGGGAGGCGGGGGTGCTGATGTGGACTCTGGCCCCAGCCAAGTCTTGGGGAGGGGCAGGAGCATGTGGCATTTACAAAACCAGGGGACCTCTAAGACCCTCTATGCTCTCTGAGATACTGAAAGGGGCCATGCCAGGCTTTGGCCACCACAGCTCAGGAGGAAGGTCCAGACTCCATATATGAGCTGCTGGGGCAGAGGGGAGCTCACAGTTCAGATGGAGAAACGGAGGCACAGCCAGTAGGCAGCTGGCCAGAGTAAGTCAGCATCCAGGCCTCCTGCCTTCCAGAGCAGGACAAAAGCCGCCTTCCAGATCTCATGCGATCCCCTCTCTCAGGTCCTATAATGCCTTGCTTCTTTGCTGTTTGAGGACTTACGGGTGCTCTAGGCCACAGGAAACCTTCCCTTCCCATCACTGAGAATGAGAAAAACACGGCTGTGCATTCTGTGTTTAGTGCTGCCCCCTGGTGGCTGTGGGGGAAACGGTTTCCTCTAATAATTCCAGGGTAAACATTGATCCAAGCAATTCTCATCTATCAACTCATTTAATGCACATCATTTACAGATGAAGAAACTGAGGCACAGGCAGGTTAAATAACTTGTCTAAGGCCATAGTATAAGTGAGTATCCAGAGATCTTTCCCAGGGCAAAGTATCACTCTGGGTGTTGAGAAGCACAAAACCAGGGAAAATCTCTGAGGCTCAGGCTGGACGTTGGGTCTACCCTGGCCACCGAGATCTGAGTCAGAGCTGAGCCTGGATGAGGCTCTGCCCCCCACTCCCATTCCTGAGCATCCCATCCACACCCTACTCACCATCACCCCCTTGACCCAGCCAAAGCGCACGGGCTCCCCAGTGTTCTCACTGTTTGTGCCTGCCTCGTCCTCCACCAGCCCGTCGGTCATCTCATGGCTGGGCCGGCTGTCAAAGGCCAAGGCATGCAGATGGCTGCCTTCCTGCTGGGAGCAGAGGCCACAGGTCAGGCAGGCGGGGGTCACGACAATCCAGCCCCCATCTTGTACCCTCCATGGTCCAGGCCCCCAGCAGCAATCCCAGCAAGCATCCTCTCTGCTACAGACCTTCCTCATTGCCATCTCCCTATCTCTTTCAGGTGCATGTAGCCTCTGTTTGTGCACCTCCACCGACTAGGAGCTCATTACTTCTCTAGGAGGCCAAGATTGCTTGACTGGGTTATCAGTGTCTGGGCAATAAACATTATAACATGTGGCCAGAGCTCTATAGCTTCCATGCCCACATTTCATTTCATTCTTAACCCATGAAGAAGACACTTGTTTGTCCCCATGGCACAGAGGACAGAGGCAAGGCTCAGAGAAGTTAAGTACCCGGGTCAGTGTCACACTGAAAGTGGCCAGCCTTTGAGATGGTGCTTACCTTGAGGAAGGAGTGCAGATCGGCCAGTGTGGGCCGGACCTTTCGGGGCTCTCCGGGCAGGGCGCTGTTGGCATAGTGCTCGTAAGCGGGCACCACATCGATAGTGTTGTAGCCGAAGGTGCGCATGTATAAGGTGCTGCCATGGGTCAGGTGGCTGGGGTGGCTGCTGTCATAGGCAGCCTGCGGTGGGGGCTCATCGCCCCCCAGCAGCGTGCTGATGGTGAAGCGCCCACTGCACAGCGTGGGGTCCCCTGGCATCTCGGACCCCGGCAGCTCTGCCATTGCGGCTCTGGGTGTCCGGGGAGGGGGCCAGAGTCGCCGGGGACGTGCTGGGTGGCTTTATAGGCTGGGCCCACAGCAGGGAGGAGGCAGGGAATTTGGCCCAAACCGCCCATGGCTGGCAAGCAGGGTCCCTGGACAGGGTGGGAGGCGGAGCACGTGCCCACTGCTGTCCTGCCCACCGTCTGATCGCCGAGATAGCTGCCCTGCCTGGGACCGGGAGGGCTGGGTTGGACCAGAGCCAGACGCAGAGCGGGAAGGGGGCAAACAGGCCCAGCCCCTGGGTCCCCAAGAGGCTCTTCTGAGTCTGAAAGCTGAGGACGTCTGCAGGACCCTAGGAAGCAGTACCCACCAGATGGGACACTTAGCGACCCTATGAGGGACCCTAGAGACAGCCTGATGACCTGTGACCCCATGCTCTGTAGGTCCAAAATCCTCGCATTTTACATCGTGTTGAGTTTTATTTTTTAGTTATCTAGTATTTGTGGATAGATACATGGTATGACATTTAAAAAGATACACACATGTATATAAGGAGTTAGTCTCCCTTACTTGGACCTCTCTGTGTTTTCGTGCATGTCCTCCCAAAGGCATCTCAGAGTGTATAAACCATTATGTGCACGCACCCCCAAACTAGAATTCGGCATGCGACAGGTGTGATCTGTAGCCGCCTGTGGACTGAAGAGCCCCCAGGGCTGACTTGCGGCTGGTCAGTGGTACCCAGCCCACACATGCGCCGCAGAGCTGAGTTACAGAGTCCAAGCAGGCAGTGCCTCCCCCAGCCCAGCCCGGACAGACAGTGCCCCCACTCCCAAGGTGACAGCGAGCATGGCCCCCATTCTGGTGCTGGCCCAGAGCAGGCTCCCGGGTTTTTTGTTTGTTTGTTTGTTTTTGCCAGCTGCCTGAGGCCACACCTTGAATGCATGGGCGAGTGGCTTGGGCTGCGCTCTGGTCACCGGAGGCACCTGAGCCATTGCAGGGGTGGGGACTGAAATCAAAAGGGGGTTAGGAGAGATGAGTTAGTGTGGTGGGCGCCCGATGTGCCACCAGAGGAAGGGGTGCCTACGCTCACGGTCCTGCTGTTAGTGGGGAAAAGGGACACGGAAAGAGACCAGCCCAGCTGTGTAGCAGGGGCAGTGATGGGAGAGAGTCCCCTGCAGGAGGGTCAGGGACAGCTCAGGGGCCAGTCACGCTTGGGAGGGACAAAGAGGGACACATTTCTCTCCCTCCCTCCCTCCCTCCCTCCCAGAAGGGGGCAGATAGCAATGCTTAGACTGAGTTAGACAATAAACTGTGTTCAGGACTCTCCCTCCAAGATGAGTGTACTTGAACGGGGGTCTGGGAGCCCCACAAAATTGCGGACAATTTTCATGCCTCGGTGCATTTTTCTGGGAAGGAGGGCATACGCTTTGCCACTGGAAGCTAAGTGCACAGGGACAGGGATCTGGGCCTATCTTGTTCACAGATAATCTCAAGCAACTAAAACAGCACAGAGTGAGTACTCAAGAAACGCTTGTTGAATGAATAATGAAGGGGACCCAGAGCAAAGAGGGCAAAGAGCAGCTGCCGTAGAAACCCAAAGTCATACCCCGAGTCAGGGGTGTACGGGGCAGCCCCCAGGCCCTCTCCTAGCTGAGCCACACATGGAGGTGAGCCGAGGGTGACAGACCCTCGATGACAAACCCAAAAGGTTATGATCACTGTGTATCTATTTGCAAAGCTTATATATTCATTACAAGTGTTGATTTAAAAAAAAAACAAAACTCTCCTCGGGGCTCCTCTTCATGACCCCCAGGCTTGTCCACCACCTTCCCAGGAATTTCTAGCCGCCCCACAGAGAGGCTTCTGGAGATGTGTGTCCCCAGCCTGCACCCAGTGGGGCCAAAGGTTAGGAGATAAAGTCTCCAGGTCAGTTTTCCACCTTCCCTGCAGCCCCCACCCTGTCCGGGCAGGGAGAGGCGGCCGGTTAGTCATTCTCTCCCATGGGGCCCCTGGGGCAGATTTTATCACCCTCTCACTTTTAGACTGAAAGTCACAGCTGCCTAACACCCCTCCCACCCATCCTCCACTCTCCACCCTGGAGCAGCTGTGGAAATTTCCCAATTCCCATCTCAGGAGGGGCCAGAACTGGTTTCCAGCAGCGCAGGGGCCGCGGGCAGAGAGAGGGGCCACAAAATTGCCGGGTGACCTTGGGCAAGTCACTTCTTCCTCCCTCCATGAAACCCAGGCCTAGGGGAGCCCCAAGGTCCCTTCTAGCCCCCCAAGTGGCTTCAAGAAGCCGCTCCTGCCCCTCTGCATCTCTCTGGGGTGAGGTGACAGTTAACAGGACCCCTACAAGGGCTTATCAGTAGAACAAGCAGAAGGGACTGTCAGAACACCTTATCCCAAAGCACAGACCCCCAGGAAAGCAGATTCTTATATGTGGATGGAAAGTCATCTGACTGGAGACGCCTTCCAGGTGGGGGACACAGTGCTGGGTCAGACACAACACCCGCCTTGGGGGACGTCAGCTTCCATGTGGGCCCCAGAGTCCTGCAGGCCTGGGACCCCAGACTCAAAATCGGACGCACCCTGACCCAAGCCCTGTGATGTGAGTCTCAGGCTCACACCCCAGGCCTCAGTTTCCATGTGACTTTGAGCACGTGGAAATTGACTGGGGTGTGCCTCAGCCGCCTCGGCAGCGAGATGGGAAAGCCACCTGCACTGGGTCGGTCGTGGCTCACCAAGCCAGCGTGAGCCCCCAGCAGAGAGATTGAAGGCTCCTTGCGTCTCCTGGTTCTCAGGGGGATGGAGAACAGAGGCGGTACAGGATCTCTGTGGAAGACTCCCTAGAAGCGAAAACTCCACACACAGGCCTGATGTGGTGAGGCCAGGAGGATCTGCTGCAACCTCTGCACCTCAGAGCCTTCTGTCTTCATGGCCACAGAACCACTCAAGCATTTATTGGGCTCCTCCTGTGTACCAGGCACTGGAACTCACAACCTAGCCTGGCAGACAAACGAGCAACTGGCTAGGAGAGGGGCAGCTGCCCTGGAGAGGGTGGGGATTCTGGGGCCTGGGGTCAGTGTAAGGGAAGAGGTGGCCGAGGCCGGAGCACACAATGCCATGGGGTAAGGGGAGGAGGGAAGAAAGGGGGGAATATGAGGTGTTTCTTCAGTCACACACATTTATTGAGTGCCTACTGCATACCAGGCCCCGTGGTAGGCACCGTGGAGAACAAGACAAAGACCCTGCTCTCCCGGGAGCTCACATTCTAGAAGGGAGACAGACAGTAAGGAAACAAACAATCATTATAACACATTTAGTGGTAGGTGCTATTAAGAAAACAAAGCTTTAAAAAAAAATTTTAGGAGGGGCATTTAGGCCTGAGAATGAGAAATCCGAGCCAGGCTCCAACAATGAGAAGGAGCCTCCCATATGCAAGCAGGTATGAGTTCAGGGCTTCCAGAAGGAAGGGAGAGCATGCCAAAGGCCCTTGGATAGGAGTGTAGTCGGGGCTTCAAGACAGCCAGAAGCCTGGTGTGGTTGAGCACAGGGACTGAGGAGGCGGGTCTGAGACATGCGGGGCGACACTGCGCCTCGTACACCAGGGTCGGAAGCTTTATGCCCCAGTAGGTGACGGTCAGATTTCTATTTGCCAGAGATCCCTCTGGCTGTTGTACGGAGGACGGACCGGGGAAGGCAAGTTACGGTGAGGCTAGTCAGGGGCTACCGCAAGCGCCCTACGGTAATGGCCAGGCCAGCGGCTGTGGGTGGCAGGGGGTGAGGACTGTTGGGACCTGAGGGTATCGTGAAGGCCGAGCTCACAGGCCCAGTACAGGGATGCACACAGGGCAGGGGTTCGAGAGAAGGACCCTAGGGCCGGGGGGGGAATGGCAGCACCATTTCTGAGCAGGGAGGCCTGGCAGTGCCGGGTGAGGGTGCCTGGAGCATGGGGCCTGGAGCATCCACTTCGGAGAAGCTGCTAGTGAGCAGGGCAGGGCAGAAGGGGGAGGGCCGGGTAGGAACAGACAGCAGCCAGGCTTAGGAGCCCTGGGCTCACCCCTGACTGCACGTGGGCTCGGGCGTCACGCCGGAATCCCTAACCAGTGCAGACTCTGTGGCCCCAGCCTGGAGATTCTATGGGCTTGGGGGCGAGCTGGGGGCTGGCATCAGTGTTTCTGGAAAGCTCCCCAGGGACCCCCAGGAGCATGCCAACCGAGATCCAGTAAGCTAAAGAGAACAATCTTTCACACACAGACTCCCACTCCCCCCTCACCCCGTCCCCATGTCCGTGGCCGCCCGGTCCCACGAGGCTCGCCTGGAGAGGATGGGTATGATGCAACCCTGGTGTCGTGAAATAGCCGGGTAAGAGGATGCGCTGCTCGTCGGCCTGATTCACAACACCAGCTGCAGCAACGATACCAGAACTCGGCCGGCTTCCTCCTCCGGATGCGGCTCCGCGGCTTTGGGACGGCAACGAGCCCCAGGCAAGCATCCTTCCGACCGACGGCTGCCCAGGGCCAGCCCAGGGCTGTGACCGATGGAGGCAGGGTCCCTGCCCCGTGGGGGGCTCACAGACTGGACGGCAGCGGGGAAGAGGAGAGCACACTCAAACCCTGTGCAGTGCAGGGAGGGCAACACAGCTACCAGGCACTGAGAACCTACAATCTCTCTGGTGACCAGGCCCAGGAAACTGAGATTACTCATCAGCCTTATGGACCACGTAAGTGTGGCGGCTATAGTCCTGGTCCTTCTACCAGGCAGTGTTACAGCAGCTGGACACTGAAGTGCCATGAAGCTGCTGGCAGCCAAAGCAGAAAGCTTTTTTTTTTTTTTTTTAAACCTATTGAGCCCACATTCATTCTACAAGTAATTGTAGATATTAACAATGTGCTAGACACAGTCTGATGAATTTGGAGGATACACACAAGTGATCAAGACATGACCACTGTCTTCAAGAGGCATATAGTTCATCAGAAGAGTCAAAGCCAGCCGTAACCATAACCCCAGGCATAACAGCA